AGGATAGTTGTATCTGGTTACCATCTGTTGGGGCATCACGACTCTCTGCGTTGGGTCCGATAGATCACCCAACTCAGTCGCTTGAGACGTTATCAGATATGGCTGAGAATAGAAACCAGTGGCGGTCATGCTGTATTAATATTATTTGTCCCTTGGGTTCCTAGTAGAACATAGGGCTTCAGTAGCACGTCTCCATTTCACTCTGTTCTTTTCTTTGGTTCCACGACTACTCGGAAGCTTTCATTTCTTCCTCACACAATCTCCTCTATGTCACCCTTCGGACCTCCAACTCGTCGTTTCCCATTTGGATTGCACTCGAGATCCTGGCTTGGCGAGTGATGTCCCCAAATGGTCTTCTCATTGTGTCCACAATCCAGTCCATCTCCACTTTTTTCTGCATATTTGTGGGGTGATAGGTTGTTGGTTAATTCGCCGCCGACCGGAGTTCCTTGTTGCTTATTCTTATTATTCTGGTCATCTGAGCTTCAGTATCGAGTGAGTTTGGGGGGAAGCTGTTGATGATGTATGTCTCTAGTTTGTTGGGAATGCTTTTCGTAACGCGCCAAGTCTTTCAATCATCACATAGAAGCATTGAGTTGACTGAATGAGTGTTGAAAATCCTGATCTTGTTCACACTTTATGCTGAGTGCAGTGGATCTCCACACTGATTTTAGATTAGTGAAGGCGTGTCTTGCTGCCTTTCCAATTCAGTCTGGCTTTGTGTCGTCATCTGTGCCGCTGCCGCCTGTAGTTGAGAGGATGCTGTCTAGGTGGTGGGTGAAAGAGACTGCTTCCTTTAGGTTTCTGCGGTTGGTGGTGATTGGTGCTTGTTGTTGTTGTGTTGTTGTGCTGGTTGGGTATCTTCATCACCTCTGCCCTCTCTGTGTTCACCTGAAGGAAGTCCCGTCTTGTTTCGCTGCCTCGTCCCGTTTCTTCTGTCAACTTGTTGGTTTTCGCCTGTAGATCTTCGAGTTTGTGCCACAAGACATTAGACATAAATGATCATTGTTGGCGAAATCGAAATCGAAATCAAGAGTGTTTTCATCGGTCCAGCCTGCGTATTCTCCTCTTCTCGCTCCTCACAGTTGGCTGTTGCATGATCGGGTTCAGTCCAGTCCAGTCCAGTCCAGTCCAGTCCTGTGCAGTTGACCACAATCACGAAGATCATGATTGATAGTAGGTGGCAGCCTTGACTTACTCCTATTTGTCTTCACTTTGAAGGCGTTACTGAGGTTTGCATTGTGAATCACCTTGCTGGCATGTAGCATCCTCATATAGTATAGCATGTAGCTGTTGAATGAGGTTGATAAAGGTTTGTGTCACTAAAAGCGTAGTGTTGAAGCAAGCAGTTGCCAAATTACTTTTCGGTCGATGCCTCGATCGAAGGCGTTTTTGAAGTCGATGAAGTTGAGGTAAAGAACCAATTGACTGGTATTCTATACTGTGTTCTATGATGATGTGTAGCTTAGCGTAGGGTAGCAATTTGAATGCATATGGTTTGTTTTTCCTGAATGCAGTCAGCCATCCTGTAGTGGTCGTAATTTTGAATGCATAGCATTTTGTAGTCCCATTGGATTGATGCAGCTTAATATTTTGCTTGTGGGTGAACAAGGACAGGAGCATGGTTCTGCGCCGGTTCTTGCAAAGACTTAGGTCTTCCTTCTTTGAGAGTTTGACAAGGTAGCCCTTCTTGCAATCAATCGGCAGGTACTTTCCTTTCGTTTTTGTAAACCTTCTGCAATGGTGATGTGAACGTGTGCGCTGTTGTCTCTGTATTTGTTTTGAGTGGTTGTGGTGGAATTCCATCTGGTCCTGTTGGTTTTCTGGCTTTCAGCAACTTTATGGCGTTCAGAACTTCACTTCTGCTTTTGTCGGAGGGCTTGTATTCACTGGTAATTTTGTGGCTGGGCTACTGGTGGTATTTCTGGACGAGTTGCAGGTGGTGGTGGTCAATTCAATAGTTTTTTGAAATGGTCAGCCCATTGTTTCTCTTCTTTGTTAACTAGGTTTCCTTCACTATCTCTCGTTGGTTTCATCTGCTATGATCACTTCGCAGACAGCAAGTAACCTGGTTATTTGATATGGTGTTGTCAGGTCTCTCCCACTTGCAGCCTGTTCTACTTCACTTGCCAGTGTGTCGCAGAAGTGTCTTTTGTTTTTCCATGCACTCTTCTTCACTTCTTTGTCCATTGTATTGCTTTATAAGTTGTGTTCAGTTCCTCTTTTCGTTGTTTATTCTTGCACTGGTTTATCTGCTGCTTCACCATTTCCCTCTCCCTACTCTATCAGCTTCCATATGTTCACTGAGATCCATTCCCTGTTTTGTTTCTTCTTCCTTCTTAATACGGTTATGCAGGTTTCTTTCCACATCTCTTTCAAAGAGTTCCAGTGTTCTTCCACACAGGTTTCCTCGGGAATGTTGCTTAATGTCTCCCATTTTGTCCTGATGGCTGGCTGACGTGAAAATATCCTTTGTAGTTTCCTCTGTCAGTTCACTTTCTTTTCTGGGTGTTCAACTCGAACTGTGGTCTATCACCGACTTCCTTGAATTGAAGCTTTCAACTGTATTTTGAAGGTAGGTTCCTTGCACTAGATAGTGAGTGGTGTGAACCTACATCTGCTCTCCTTCTTCATCTGATCTTGTGTTCAGTAGGCTGGGTCTCCACTTCCTTCAGATTGAGATGAAGTCCATCTGACTTTTAGCGTACCGATCCGATGGAATCCATGTCACTTTGTGAATATCCTTGTGTTTGTACACATTGCCTCCAATCACCAAATCGTTGAATACGCGGAAGTCTGCAAACAGTTCTCCATTTTCGTTCATTTCACCGAGTGCCCCTCTACCCATAGTTGGTTCTCTTCCTGTGTTGTCCGCTCCGAGTTTTTGCACTTATGTCACCCCACCCATTAGAATTTTGATGTCGCCAACTGAGGTGGGGTCTTGTCCATTACTGATTGCATTTTTCTGTAAATTCCTCCTTTTCTTTTGATCTGCATTATTTGAAGGTGTGTGGCGTAATATTGTATGATTGTGAATTTCCTTCCTTTTAAGTTGAACCTTGATGTGATGATCCTGGAGGATATTGGTTCCCACTGCATGAGAGAGAGCCTTTGATGCTCTTGGGGACACCATGTTAGCCACTCGAAAACTCAGTGTGCTTGTGGTTGTCATCTGGGTGACCGAAGTAGATTATTGACTCTCCAGTTGACAGTTGAGAGAGTCCACTTCCATTGTATGTGCTTTCGCAGATTCTTTGCACTTCTGTGGTATACCTTCTCACCTCTTTTGCCATCCGGGCAGCGTTGCTAGGTTCATACATGGTGTGGACATTCCATGTCCCCATTCTTACATTCGCTGTCATCGAGAGTAATGAAGACACATCGGCCAATTGGCTTCCCGAAGGCTTTCACCGACGCGTCATTTCGTCTTTTCGATTCCAGCGAGGAAAAAGTTTGTTTTTATTTTTATATTTACTTTTAGCTTTGAAGTTTCTTTAGGGATTGGATTGGTTTTATGGGGTAGGGTTGCTAGCCCTATGCCCAACCTTCCCTGTTTATCCGGGCTTAGGACCGGCTAGTAACTAGTTAACTAGGCGAGGTTCGGTCATTCTATAGCTTTCTTTTATCTTCTGCCGCTAAAAAGAAATGAATATTTTGTTTTGAATGTACGTTACTGGACTACCCTTCTAATCATGCCATTCTCATTGTTTTTCTTTCTTGCATATCCACTTCCCATCGTTATTTTTCACAATGTTACTATTTTTTGTGGCGCATTTCTTGGTGCCCTTGCTGTGCTATGTTAGTGTTCTAATGATAATAGTATTACTACTACTACTACTACTGCTACTACTACTACTACTACTGCTACTACTACTACTACTACTACTACTACTAATAATAATAATAATAATAAGTTACACTTACTTCAGCTAGTCAGTATCAAAATAGGATTTGTCATTACTGCGTAACTGTTAAACCTGCCACACCTCACATAAGTGCATCGAAACACAAGGCAACATGACATTACAAAGTAGAAATACCATCAAAGGTCGTAGAAAGTCATATATAGAGAAAAGGATGCTAGGGAGAGTAAAGCAAATAACAAAGTATGATATGATTATAAAGATGTAAATAAGATTTGACTACATCTGTACCACTGCAGTTGGTTTTGGGTAATATTACCTAGTCTGGAACTTTATTTAGTAATCGTTACAGTTGTAGTTCGTTTTCAATGATCCACATCTTTAGAGCTTAACTCTTGATTTGATAAAATGTCATTATACTAAAAGTACTAATCGCGTCATCTTTTGAATGCTCTGCTGAGAAGCTCTGAACTTAATTTATCAAAAATATCGTATTTTAAACATATTCGTTTATTTTCTGGTTTTAAGTCTGCCCTGTCCAGTTTATTTTGTTTACGATTATTTTGGTGTGTTCATATTATAGTAAGTGGTATGCCAAGGCAACCTGCATACTTATCATCGTATAGTAAGATGTAATACGTTTTATACTAAGTGATGATTGAAGGTGAAATGAAAATCTGAACCGCAGCCGGATTTGAACCAGCGACCACCTTTTGTTGAAAGATGTTGTTCAGCATAATTCTAGTGAACATTGTTTCAGAATTATGGAACCCGTATGGTTCAGCTGGTTGAGAATTTCAGTCACTTATCTAGTGGTGAGCCAATATGGTAGACCAACCTTTTTGTAGCCCTGGTTTATGGTTTTCTAAATCTGTGGACAACTTCGCTCATACATTTTCGCTCAAAGATTTCTTCTGTATATAGTGGGGATTTCCAATTATTTTCCCTCCCGTCTTTCCAGAGTATTATTGAATTGGGAGGAGTTACTCATTATAGGTTTTAAATTACGTGAATACCATTGGTAATGTTAAAATGCCTATATTTGTTACTTAACAGTTTTGGATGCATGAAAACTGACAATATAATGTCAAAAGCTTAGTTTTAACCTCATTCTCTCAAACTATCTTATTTCAATAGTCATCAAACAACAGTGAAAAACCTCAAGTTAGTTCTATACCTGAGAGCGAAATTTTGAATCCTGATGTACATGTATCTGGCCAATGTTTCCCTTCTTCTTTTTGGTCGTGGGTACAGCAGTAAGTGCCAAGTACAGAGGTGCATTTTGTGAAGCAACAGTAGATCATGTGGACCTAAGATTCCGCCTTCGTGTACAACTAAAGTCTAACAAGGTAAGGTGGCTACATTTCTTTAACAGATGTTTTAATTGTCTATTTCCTTACCTTTTTCTTCGGGCTATTCACTTTCATTGTCATTGTATCTGCAGTACTTGGGTACAAATAGTAAAAGTTTAGGATTCTGACAACTAAATACAAGTTTAAATGCTACTTCAAATACTTCAGCATAGGCAAGTGGGCAGCATCATAAGCCTTTTTGAATGAAGTGCGAGGCGAAGCCCAATGCCTGTCAAATGCAATTCTGATAACTTGTGAAATTAAAGGGAAAATACAAACACATCAATCTGTGCGCTGTATGATTCTGAAATTTAATTTTAAAAAATGAATACGATAACGAAACTGAAAATTTTACTCTCTCAACATTCTTACTATAAATGACGTCAGTACATATGGTCTATGCTGCAAATAAAGGGAACGGTTGTCAAACACTTGAAACCTTCTCGCAGCCACTAATTAGAACTACAGTTCAGTATACCCTTATGTGAGACAAACCGACTGAAGCGCAATGTACGCGTCTTTTAATAGGTAGTCAAATATCTTTCTATTCGGTGTTAGCCACAACGCGAGTTGGTATATGCCAAACGGACGTTCACTATCCGAGCTAAGATTTCGCCAACAGCCAACCTGTTCGGCTTACGCGACTCATCAGGTGAAGTGGCGTACGCATCCAACCACATATTACCGTATCATTAAACTGGGTGTGGACGCAGTCCAGTCCTTAAGCACCATTTACACTTCACACACTGTCCCTTCAGTAGTGTATCCAAAGAATTAATGTATGCAAGCTATCACAAATAAAATACTTTCAGAATAAGTCTTGTTTTAGTTAGCTTACTTTTTAATTTGAAATGAATAAACTCGATATGCCTCTTTATACATACCAGTCTAACTTTCCAACTACACGAAACTATATTGAATTAGTTTTAAAAACGTCATAACTATGTTAAACATTGAGTCATTTTATCACTTCTTTTTTCAATTAGTCCTGTGTTTCAGTTGATGAGACCTGTTTAGTATCTGGTTCTCCTGTTATTGGTAATGAAGTGGTCGTTCGAGTACTTAACAATTCGGCAGTACTTACTGAGCAAGTTGGCACAGTAATACGTGTTACTGATTCCAGTATTTACACAGTTGGTATGTTTTCCTTTTCTGAAATAATACATTGATTACTTTAACACACTTTTTTTTTGACGCATATATTAATTTTTTGATACTGAACTGTGTTGCATCTTTCTGGTTTTTACAATCTGTCATAACTTTTACTCCTGTAGACGACAATATGATGAATTTTATTTGATGTCTAATGTATATTAATAGCTTTCATGTGCTAGGATTAACCTTTTTTGATTTTAATTAATATAAGGTAAGCATTGGTGATACACTCATAGTGTGTAATGAAATGATATAGTTAGATGGGATGTGATTACAATGATCAACTTGTTTATTTTGAAAATTAATATGTTGTAATCACAAATTATAATCTGATTGGCACCATTGAGTGTGAGTATGAAAGTTGTTTTGGCTTGATATTATTGATCAGTTTACTTTATTGTTAGCTGTTTATTTTGTCCAGTAATAAATATATTATATATTTGACGGTTGCTAAACTACCTACCAATTTTTTAAGCCAAGTATTCAAGAATCATGAAATAGGATAATGGTAGCTGAACTAGCCCTGAATTTCCAAATTAGAAGGTCATTCCTACAGTGCACAGAAATTACAGAATGATCACCGGCATCTTTTTCTAATGACCTCACCCCCTCTCAGTATCCTATCAGAAGACTCGGTAATTTCACAGATTCTGCTCCTTAACAAACGTTTTTATATTGGGAGAATAATCCCTTGATTTCATATTTTTTCAACCTGGTGCTCCTAATTGTAAAGTTTGGTATTTCAGACTTGTGTGGGGAAAAACGGATGAATCTTTCTGAGTTACGGCGGTAACTGTTATGATTCATTAGGGCTATTTTATGATGCATGTATGATACTTATACCCCAAGACTACTGTGAATCGAATCAAATCAAGACAACTTTCACCTCATATCGTCTCCGACATTAAACTACTTAGGCATGTGGGTTTCACGGCTGCATTCAGTGAATTATCATGGATATTAAGGAAACGCCTAGATTCTTTTCCATTAGACGAAAGCAGCAAATGGGATGCTTTTCAATCAGTATGCTTTTTGGGGTTTCACATATGCTTTATGTGGATAGTAATAGGCTTTCCAGGTGTGGCACACCGTAAAAACATTTGTAGAGTGAAACTCTTCACTGTACCGTCACTGTTATCTTGTTGTATCAGTTAGGCTTGTAAGTTGTAGTGACTAGTCGGAGTTAAATTGACTACAGTGCTTGTCCCACAAGGTGAGAGGAAGCTAAGATCGATACTGGGAGACTGTGGATAACATCACCTAAAAACGATTACAGTAATGTAGGTACGTACACGCTCCGTTTTCTTCTAATTCGTGATATAATATATTTTTATTCCTTTTTTCTTCCTTTCCTCTTCATCCTATGGTTTCTTACCATCTGTACTACCAATAATAATAATATTATTACTATTATTGTTAATTTCATTTCATCATCTTAGTAATTCTCTGCGTTAATTTGTTGATGTATCATTGTGTAAATACCTCTATATTGCAATGGTTTAACTGATGTTCACTTCAGAAGTTAGTTGTGTGACTTTCGTGATGAGTACATAACCAATATTTTCAACGAAGTATGACATCAGAGCATTTGTACAAATCCCTTTGGCTTTTACAAATGGGAGGGTGTTGAAGATAAAAGAAATCAAATCAAAATCATTTTTCTGTCTTTCCATTTTATTGTAGTTATTATTATAATGAGAAAAAGCAGTGAAACAGCTTTCAAAAATTAATATTTTGCCGATTTTTTTTGTATAAAATAGTACTTGAAAGTGTATAAATTAGGATTTATTACATTTTATATTTGACTTGTAACGCTTTCTTCTTCCACTTTCAATTACCGCATAGTTTTTGATGATGGTGATAAGCGAACCTTACGACGTACTCAACTTGTTTTAAAAGGGGAACGTCATTTCAAGGAGAGTGAGGTGAGTAGAAGTGATAACGTTTTCTCAGAGATTCATTGTTTGCTCTATTTAATGTTGTCTAATTTCTGTTTGATGAAGAAGTAAGTGGAAACAAAAGTTGGTCCCATATAATGTTGTTATTAAAGCTTTATTTCAATTACCCAAGAATATGATTTTCAGTAAAATCCTAGATGATATATGTTTCTGAGAGTAGCTATGTATATATACTATGAGTTAAGTGGTCAAGAGCGTTGGCCACTTAACTAAGTTGAGGAAGTTATAGTGCGGTCAGTGACCGACAAAAGCTCGGTACGGATACAAAAGGTTCACCTGACTTCTTCCAACTTATGATTCTCTCTGTTCTATTAAATGGCTGTGAAACATGTTCATTAAAGGTAGAGAATATGAGAAGGTTTCAGATGTTTGACCACGGTTGCTTTTGTTTGTAGTATGGGCCATGTGTATTGGTGTCACCATATGAGTAACGGAGAAGTTAGGTGTAGTTTTGGGTAGGAGAGGGAATTCAGTTGATAAGGTTGTAAACTTTCATCAGCTCAAGTGGTTGGGATATGTTACACATACCTAGCCACTGTCTGCCTTGTCGCACAATGTTGACTGAAGTAGTCTCAGATTGGAAGTAGGTTCGAGGTAATCAGACTTAAACATGACATCATTTCATGACGACTCTAACTGTTGGTCTGAGCCGTGTATAGAGATGCAGACTTTCCGGACGATGTCCTCTTGACAGCCGAAAGTGGTCGCTGGGAGATTCTAGATGATATGAATAGGGATCAATGCCGGTGGTGCATATTATGCACACATTATCTTCTTCTTAATAACCATACCTAGTTTCACTATTCTCTTACTCCTCCCTGTTCTCTTTTCATGACTTTCTACCGCCTTGATTACTTTCTTCCTTATTTCCCTATCTTTTATTTTAGTGCGCTTTCAATTGTTGTGCTGGTATAAAGTGTGTCAGCTCAGACCATTACGCAGTGATCCCGGGTTTCATGCTCATATTCACTGACTGGCACACCACTTTTAATTCATTCGTATTATTTATTATCATTATTATTATATCTTTAGAGTGTGGATTCACTAATCAATGCATAGTATATTCCTTATAATTACCGCAGTTGCTATTGTCATGTTCACTCTAGTAACGATTAAAGTAATGATAATGTGTCCTAAGATTATAACTCTAAAGGTCACTCTAGCGATTGTTGAAATAACCAATTTGGTTTAATCTGTTTTATGAAAGAAGCGTGATTGGTTATTTTATCTATTATTATGGTGGCTTTTTGAATCAGTTGTGCCAAGAAAGTTGCATCATTTAATTTGTATTTTTTGTTTGTTTTAGAGTTTGGACTGTTTGCCTTTAACGAATCCAGAACAATTTAGACAACCAGTTATAGATCAACGAAGGAAACATCGTTCAGGGTAAAGAAATAATAGTAATATGAACATTTTTTTTTGTTTAATTGTACATAATCTACTGAAGTGTTTTACTTTTTGGAGAATAGTGGAATCATTTTGAATTTTTTGTCATCAATGATATAACTGCCTGTGACATGTGATATGATATGACTATGAACAATGAATTATGTCTGGGACGTTGTCCAGTAAATGATACTGTTTCATTGTATGATATTTCTAATAAACTGACCCAAATGGAGTTGATACTGGGTGATAATTGAAGGTAAAATGAAAATTTGAACGGTGGCAGGATTCGAACCAGTGACCACCGGGTTTCTGGCCAACTGAGTTACGAGGCCTGACTGCTGATCAGATTTTTATTTCACTTGAATCACTGAGGGTTTTGCCTGACTACCATGTAAATTCGTGACGCATTACTACCACTTGATCGTACTCAAATTGAATGCCCATCAGTCAAGACTTCTCATTCCACTCGAAATCTAATTGAATTAGAGAAGAGGAGCATCATATTGATTATCATTTTGACTATCTGAGATAGTCGAAATGATAAGATGGAGTTGACTGAAGTTCTTTAAGACTGAGAGATGACTAGACTAAAACATGGTATCACTGCATGAAGTCGCTGACTGTTGATCTGAGCCATGTGAGGGTGATGTAGACTTCAGAAATGGTGTCTACAAACAAGGGGAATCGGTTATTGGAGACTCTAGGTGACACAGTGCAGAGTCAGTCTCACTGGGGCAGATGTATCCACATATTATTTTCGTCTTAATCGTCATATCGAATTTTATATTTTGTTATTTCTCTTTCCACTCTTTGCTATTTTACACTACTTTTGACTGAGTTTTTATTTCCTTGTCTTTCATGTTGGTGGATTTTCGCTTGAAGTTTTGATATGAGGTGTGTCAACTTGAACTGCTATGCAGTAATGTCTCACATGTTGATATTGATGACGATTGGCGTCCGATAACGTATTTGTTCTCAGGATTTATGTTTGCTTAAACTAAGTACGGGATAAAAAACAATAAACAGGACACTTAACTTGAAAACGTTATGAAATGGGGAGTTTGAACGTTGAAGGCTCCTGCATGAAATCAATGGCGGAGTCTTAGGAGACTAGGAATGAGGTTTCGATGGTTTTGGTTGTTCGCAGTGGTCGGAGAATGAAAGGCTGGGGAATTTTCGAGGAGCTTAATATTAGTATCAGGAGGTGAAGGCAAAGGCGAAAAAATTTGAGGAGGATAAGTTATATTTGATTGGTTCTTGTGTGCTACTGGAAGTGTATGGACGGTTGCCCACACCGTGAAAAGCTATTTCTTCGTGAGGTATTTGAAAGAGAAAAAGACTTATGTGGCTGCAAAGCTCATGAGACATCTGCTTGAGACCTGTCACAAACAGTCTTTTGGGAAGTTTAAGATTTTGGTGTGTTACTTTTGAGCCTGACAGTGAATCCTTGTTGCAGGCATCTGCGTGCTGCGGGGTGACGGGAATGTGGTACTTTTGGGGACAACCTTTTCTAACCACCACTCCTTCATGTAGAAAAGTTTAGCATCAGCGTGGCCTTGCTGGCTATCCAAGGGAAACACCTTACAGCTGTCACATCTCCGTCTAGTCAGCAGCTCGACTTCGCCCTCAGATCTCTATCATAGTGTATTAATTTCCACTACGGCGGTAACTCCTTTTCGTCTTATCTTTCTGCCACGGTAGGACCTTTAGGAAACAAGCGTTCCACTAGTATAGCTCGTTGGGTCACTGTGATCAACAAGCCCGACCACCATAGTAGGGTAGCAGCTGTCGGTTGGGAGAAAGAGCTATCGAGAAAGATATATGAATTAACGAGGCAATGAGAGAATCACAAGTAATAGCATTAAGACCTACTTAAACGGCCCTCAACAACTTTTTATTGCTTTTCAGCAATGGAACAAAACAAAACTGCGGTATGATCATCACTGTCATACTGTAGAACATCATAGAGACTAAGAGTAAATTGAAAAAAAGAAGAGTAACGTCGAAATAAAAGGTGTCAGGAGAAAAAAATAAATGAATAGAAGTTAGTGAAGTTCTCGTAATCTCAAAGGTGACCAATTTTTAAACACACCATCTAGAATGGTCATCTATCAATTTGATTCATCTCGAGGACTTAGCCAGGGAGTCTACACCTCCCTACATCGATCAAATCAACAGTTAAAGATTTTATGAACTGCTACCACATCTTGGTTTGACCACTGTTAGCTTTCTTCCAACTCATTCCTATTCTGGTTAAGATTGCATCTTGACGTAGGCTGTTGCTCACCATACGCAACATTTCCAATTCACTTCGGTCATTAGAGGTTCACAACCGCATCGATTGACCTATCTTCTTCAGTTGGTATCCTACGCCTAGACTGGGCATTGGTTAAGCTATGACTCTACCATAAACGAGTTATACTGTTTGTAGTCAGAAGCCTGTAACCTCTTGATACCTACTTCTAAAAACCCTGTCTTGCGGCCGTACGGTAGGGCAGAGCGAACTGTTGCACTGTATAACGTTTTAATAAGTAGTCGGAAAATGCGGAACAGGCTTTTTGGACACTTGGTGAGATTTTGTCAGCAACTAACTCATTCGGCCTGCTTCAACTCCTGAAGTAAATGAAGTGTTCAATGCTTTCCATCAATCACTCCAACCTTAAGCTCGGAGTTGGTACAGACCAGTCTTAAAGCATTATTCTACGTCTGATAACTGTCTAGCACATTCTGAACATACTCAGATTCTTACTCAAGTCCGAAGTGTACTCTGTCTTATTATGCAGTCTTATGAGATATGGTCTGCGTAAGTAGAAGACCATGGTGGGGTCATAGTTTGACGAGTGTCCAATTTAAGGGTAGGATACTAGCTAAATAAGATGTGGTTATGGACCTTCACCGACTGAAGTGGATTAGATATGTATTGTGCATGGTGAGCCACTACCTACCTCGATGTGCAGTGTTAGTCGAAACAAGTTCAGGTTGTAAGAATACATGAGACCAGGATGGGTCATCAGTCTGGGAAGTCTCTGACTGTCGGTCTTAGCCATGTATGGAAGTGTAGACTACGTGGTTGGGCTCATGCAAACAATATGAGCAAATGAGTAGAGACTCTTTGTGAAATGACGTAAGATCGACCACAATGATGCAGATGAATGCATATAATCTTCTTTGAGGTGCTCAGTGAATTCATCCAATTTCGTCTGCTTTTTATCCCTCCGCTTGTACACTTGTTTTATTTGTTCTTCTTTGTATGCTGCTGTGAAGCATAGTTACTTGAACCGATACACTTATGTACCAGGTTCTGCTTTGATGTGCTTGTCTGCCTACATTTTCTTAGTGTCTGTATCTAGCAGGATTATGTTGTCTGCGTCCTCCAGGTAAATCAAGTGACCCAATTTCTGTAAAGTCGGAAACACTTAGGGCTATATCTGTTAACACGTTTATAGGAAAGTCAAACAGAAACCTTATGAGTTTGCATGACTGGCGGACACCACTAATTGTCATCAATGCATATGACAATTCTCCATAATACCTAACTAATATGGCTGCAGGTGTTCAGTGAGAGAGCTTTTATTAGTATGACATGCATGCTTGTCACTGTGTTTGCAGTGAAACTCTACCACAGCACTTCTTGATCGACAGAATCAAATGACACCAAAAAATATGCCAAGCGTCGCTCACCCATTGGTTTAAAGGCCCTTTGAGGGATGAAAACCTGGCCAATATATCCTCGTCAAGGTCTGAAACCAGCATAGTTTTCTCTAGGTCCAGTTGTACGTTGGTTAACCTGGCCTCATGGGTCTTAGATTCCCTCGTTTTCAGTATCGTAAGAATTCCTTCTTTTCTTGTGAACTGGAATGATCAGCGCTCTAAATCAGTCCTTAAGGACTACCTTTGATTCCCATACACTGGGTAGTATCACGTTTAATCTGTTCGGTAGCTTTCTGTCTCTGTCCCTATTAACGTATGATACTAAACCTTAAATTCCTGCTGCCTTACATTTCATTGCCTTATTACTTGATGTGCTGATATGAGGTGTGGGAACTTAGACTCTTGCGCAGTGATGCTCGATCCCTTGTTGATTTTGATTGATTAATCTTTACTGGTTTGAAACTGCCTTCTCAACTTTAAGGAAAGTTGAAGTACCGACATCTACATCTGATTTCTGTTAGGATTAGATGTTGAGCAAATAAAGTGTGGCTATGGGTAAGTTGGACTGTTCTGCAAAGTGTTCCTCGGTACGTTAAACCTGCCTGCATTGGGAAGATTTTAAAGTCCTGAGTTTCTTGATGGTAGTTTCGCTAGCCATCGACATTTTCGTACCACCTTTTAATAAGAATAAATAGGGTCGATGATTTGTTCATTTATTTTGCTTACATCAAGTGGTGGTGGGTGATATCACTTTATTTAACGAATACTCATCACTTGCATATAGTCTAAAGGTCCAATGGTTATTAGATCATATGATATTTCAAATTAGGAAATTAATAATCTTAGTCATCAAGGGAGTGAGTTGTTAACCACACTCTCCTTCTGTTATAGTAAGGTCAGGTTGAAAGCTTTTTGTTGCAATCGCTTCCACGAAAGCCAGTAATCTAGACATCTTCTGTACGTTAATTAATGTAAGAGCAGTCGATGTTTCTATTTAAAGTCCTGTGTGTACAAGGTTTATTGGAATTGTATTGGTTAGAATTTTAACTCCTTTTAAGCATAGCGTCTTGGAGATATGCTCAGCGAATGGAATGAACGCCCTCCTCTCAGTTCTTCCAATGTACTTGTTACTGCAAGGGGATGTTAATTCATAGGTAACTGTTAATGATTCACTATCATTATTCATGACACTTGACTAGTGTCAATTATTTGATGACACACAGTCAGCGTTATTAACACCAACATTAACTTATAAATGTTTTCTATCAATATGGCAGTAAAAATTGAGCACTGTGGTAGATTGTTATTCCTGTGATGAAGATGAGCTAGCAGTGTTGGATTACAAGGTTAAACGAATACAAGACGGAAGTTTAGAGACTAGTGTCTATAGGAAACCTTTCCATTCGAATCGCTACTTAGACTTCAAATCCTCCCATCCCATTTCAGTTAAAGTGGGCCTAGTTAAATGCCTATGTGATAGGGCGGAAAAGCCTACTAGAAAATCTACGACAATAAATTAGACACATCAAGAATACCTTGTATCTCAATAATTATCCACCAAGGTTTATAAATAAATTCACAAGAAATCGAAACAAAAATATTAGCAGTAGTAGTAATATAGGTGTTATTAATAATAATTCCGCTACTTATGGCAATAATGGTGACAGTGTTGAGAAAGAATTCAAAGCCTCTCCTGTGTTACCATACAAGGAAGGCACCTCAGAAGCATTACGAAGAATTCTCAATAGGGCTGGCTGGGATAAAAGTGGCATTTAAACGAAGAAACTCGCTTAGAAATAAACTTTGTGGGTTAAAGTATCCTATTGATGTGATTAGGCAAAATAATTTGGTTTACCAGATCCCTTTCAATGATTGCGAGGTCAAACACATAGGTGAAAGGCTTAATGAGTAGAATAACAGAGTACAAAAACTTAGCTAAGTCAAGATTAGTAGATCCTAGTAAGATAAGAAATCTAGAAGAAAGATTGGCTATATTTGTGGACGCAATTACACACAATCACAGGGTAGGGTGAGATAGAGTGACAGCGTTAAAAAACTGACTTAGTTGTGTAGAGAGAGAGGTTGATAACGGAGTTTATGTTTATCGAATCCACGCCAAATACATGCATTGACAGGAATGATTCTGCACGTCTCCCGAATATGTGGAAAATCCTACTACCCTTGTCACTGTGGAGAGATAATTAGGACTGTCTAAGGTGTGTTTCAAAGTTGTGGAGTTATGAATATGGACAATAAATTGTGTCCGAAACGTTATCAAGTAAATGATACTGTCCATTCACTGTATGTGACATATCTAATAAACAGACTAAAATGTTTTCTATCAAGTATAGTATTTCTTAAATACCAGTTTTTGTTTGATAAACCTATGCCAAGGATCCATTTTTCCGATTGAATAGAATTTTCGAAATAATATGTATTGAATAGAGACATTACGTTGAAGTAAGATGAAACGATGAACGTGTCGTTGAAACTACTCATTGATAGCCATTGGTATGAACTAACCAGGTTATTTATGAGGTTCCCAGTTACTTTTGAGCTGATTTGCAATAATAACACTTTTCAGCATCGATGCATAACTGTAGCCATTTTTATTGATTCCCACTAAATTCGTTTGTTTGATTTCATTCTGAGTAATGATAAGATGTTCAGGGGTTCTGTCTAACTGAAGATAAACACAGTTGTCAAATGATACTGGTGTTTTCATTGAATAATTAGCAAACTAATGTGTACGATTCATGTCAGCTGTACTGCAGTATACCAACTACTAGGTGGAACCAATTGTAGTAGATCCAATTACTTTTGTTTTTGGTATGCATAGATGACGTGGGAAAACTCACTTCTCATGGCCTTTTATGTCTTTTTTTATCAACAGTGAAGATGGTAGTATCATTGACGATAATATGGATGAAGTTGAAATAGAAGAAGTTGAGGAGAAAGTTGTAATCAAGGAGTCCAATCAAGGTATTTCAAATCATACTGTTAACCAGGATATATTGAAAGATCATGAATTTGATAAAGGTATTTCATTGAAAGATGCAGTTGTTGGTGATCCTAATTGTTCAAATATAACTGAGCGTGGCGTTGATGTGGAGGAAACTCATCTTTCAGATGCTAATACAGTAAATGTATCAGATGTGGAGGCGACAGATTTGAAACATTTGCCTACTGGTTATCGTCGTTTACTTGGACGTTTAGTTATGGTTGATATGCCATTAACAGGAAAAGGTATGCCTCTTCCCGAAAATTAGCATCTGGTTACTTCCTTTTATCAGCTTGACTATCCCATCCTTTTTTTATTTATCCCATTTTAGATTGCTTTGGCTCTCCATCATACGGTTCGTCTACTCCAGTTAGCAAAAGTCCTGGATTGACACCCAAACGTCGATTTACTCCAGCTGTTGTTGTTTTACCATCTGCTATGCCAAGTATTTGTCTAGGAAATATTTCAAACACATGTGATGGTGGTAGTACTGATAACAACAGTACCAGAATGCAGAAGTCTTATAAGCTCTTGGTTCGTTCGTTTAAGGATAATAGGTTTATTGCAGTTCCTATTGCATTTTTGAAACGCCTCAAACGACCTAATGCAGTTGAACTGGCACACACTCATCCAACCCTTCGTTCAGCCTTTGAACGTGCCCTCCTTTGGTTGGATCGATATGAATTTCCAGTTTCTTGGGGCGAAAATGCTGTACAGTCAATGTTAGGGACGAAGAATTGGCGATCCTCAAAACATCATTGTAGATCAGGTTCAGATGTCACTGAATCGATGAATTTTACTTCTTCAAGCTTAAAACACTCACGTACATCTTCACCTTCATCTTCTGAAGCGTCACACTCTCCAAATAACTGCCGGGAAAGTATTCAGAAATCTAGTGGTAAATCAACAACCAAGAAACCTGAAAAAGTTGCTCGTAAACGACCCAGGCTGACGGATAAAACTCAAGGTTCTCGATCCAGTTCACGTCTGAAAGTGAAACGATTCAAAGCTAATATTTTAATTTCAAGTGACACTGGCTACAGACGAAGCGATGGATCTTCAAATGAGTCGAATTTTGACTTCTTGAAAAAATCGGCCATCAAGCGTAACAGTGTTAAAAAAAATGCAGCTAACCAAAAACCGAATAAGAAGAATACTGTCTCTTCTGATGATTTATCTGATTCAATAAGTTCTGATGAAGCTTCGTCGAATTCTGTTGATTCTGATTGTGATACCAGGTCATTAAGTTCGTCAAGTAGCTCCACGTCTAATCTGACTTCGTCTAGCGTAAGCACCGTTAGCAGCACTAGTAGTAGTAGTAGTAGTAGCAGCTCTGATAGCAACATTAGTAGTAGTAGTAGTAGTACAACTAGATCATATTTATCTTCAGATAATTCGTCAACTTCGTCGGTAGCTGGATTTGAGGCACGTGATAGATGGATTGCTCAATTGTATCGATTTATGGATGAACGTGGTACTCCAATCAACAAGGCGCCTAGTTTAGCCAATAAGGATTTAGATTTGTATAAACTGTACAAAGTAAGTTTATTCCGGTATTGTTGTATATATATATTTTTTTGATTGATATTAATGTCCAAATTAAAATATGATTAGATTGAATTGAGTGATTGTTTTTGTTTTTCATATTAAAAAGTGATTCTACACACAATAATGATTGGTTTAAATTACATACTCAAATATGATATGATATAACGGTAAAGAGCAAAAATGGTGAATATGGCTAGCTACATGGGGTAATAGAGCGATGCATCCACGATTTACAATCAATAGCCTGTTACCTTAATTGCTAAACCAAAGATGGTGACTGCCTGATAGATAGCTGTTACGCTAGACGTGTATTCGGTCAATGAGTCGCAATTTCACCGAAACATACATCTTGAATTCTGCTGCTTGCCAACAAGAAGCAAATTTTATGATTCTTATTATTATCATTTGTCCTTTGGGTTTCTAGTGGAACATAGGGCTTCAGCAGCACGTCTCCATTTCACTCTGTTCTTTGCTGTCTTTTGGACCTGGTTCCATGACTACCCGGAAGCTTTCATTTCTTCCTCACACAATCTCCTCTATGTCACCCTTCGGACCTCCAACTCGTCGTTTCCCATTTGGATTGCACTCGAGATCCTGGCTTGGCGAGTGATGTCCCCAAATGGTCTTCTCATTGTGTCCACAATCCAGTCCATCTCCACTTTTTTCTGCATATTTGTGGGGTGATAGGTTGTTGGTTAATTCGCCGCCGACCGGAGTTCCTTGTTGCTTATTCTTATTATTCTGGTCATCTGAGCTTCAGTATCGAGTGAGTTTGGGGGGAAGCTGTTGATGATGTATGTCTCTAGTTTGTTGGGAATGCTTTTCGTAACGCGCCAAGTCTTTCAATCATCACATAGAAGCATTGAGTTGACTGAATGAGTGTTGAAAATCCTGATCTTGTTCACACTTTATGCTGAGTGCAGTGGATCTCCACACTGATTTTAGATTAGTGATGGCGTGTCTTGCTGCCTTTCCAATTCAGTCTGGCTTTGGTGTCGTCATCTGTGCCGCTGCCGCCTGTAGTTGAGAGGATGCTGTCTAGGTGGTGGGTGAAAGAGACTGCTTCCTTTAGGTTTCTGCGGTTGGTGGTGATTGGTGCTTGTTGTTGTTGTTGTTGTTGTTGTTGTTGCTGTTGCTGGTTGGGTATCTTCATCACCTCTGCCCTCTCTATGTTCACCTGAAGGAAGTCCCGTCTTGTTTCGCTGCCTCGTCCCGTTTCTTCTGTCAACTTGTTGGTTTTCGCCTGTAGATCTTCGAGTTTGTGCCACAAGACATTAGACATAAATGATCATTGTTGGCGAAATCGAAATCGAAATCAAGAGTGTTTTCATCGGTCCAGCCTGCGTATTCTCCTCTTCTCGCTCCTCACAGTTGGCTGTTGCATGATCGGGTTCAGTCCAGTCCAGTCCAGTCCAGTCCAGTCCTGTGCAGTTGACCACAATCACGAAGATCATGATTGATAGTAGGTGGCAGCCTTGACTTACTCCTATTTGTCTTCACTTTGAAGGCGTTACTGAGGTTTGCATTGTGAATCACCTTGCTGGCATGTAGCATCCTCATATAGTATAGCATGTAGCTGTTGAATGAGGTTGATAAAGGTTTGTGTCACTAAAAGCGTAGTGTTGAAGCAAGCAGTTGCCAAATTACTTTTCGGTCGATGCCTCGATCGAAGGCGTTTTTGAAGTCGATGAAGTTGAGGTAAAGAACCAATTGACTGTCATTCTATACTGTGTTCTATGATGATGTGTAGCTTAGCGTAGGGTAGCAATTTGAATGCATATGGTTTGTTTTTCCTGAATGCAGTCAGCCATCCTATAGTGGTCGTAATTTTGAATGCATAGCATTTTGTAGTCCCATTGGATTGATGCAGCTTAATATTTTGCTTGTGGGTGAACAAGGACAGGAGCATGGTTCTGCGTCGGTTCTTGCAAAGACTTAGGTCTTCCTTCTTTGAGAGTTTGACAAGGTAGCCCTTCTTGCAATCAATCGGCAGGTACTTTTCCTTTCGTTTTTGTAAACCTTCTGCAATGGTGATGTGAACGTGTGCGCTGTTGTCTCTGTATTTGTTTTGAGTGGTTGTGGTGGAATTCCATCTGGTCCTGTTGGTTTTCTGGCTTTCAGCAACTTTATGGCGTTCAGAACTTCACTTCTGCTTTTGTCGCTAAAAAAACTTCAAGAAGCAAATACTTTACTAAAAAAGTTATTTTTTATTTATTCTGATATACGATACCGAAATTACACACTAAAAATACAGCTTATACCATGAATGATGCTAAATGAGTGTCCAAAGTTTTCAAAACCATCCAGTCGTTTGTTGGTCAGGATACGTTTATACTCTACAATCACTTGAAATGTTTTCTTTTTTGGTTACATATTTTCCATCTAGCTAGTTCATAAACTTGGTGGATTTCATCGTGTTTCATCTCAACTTAAATGGGGTTATGTTTATTCAAAGATGGATTTACCTCAGAATTTCAGTGCTGGTCCACGAAATCTGCAGGCTGCCTTCAAGAAGTATGTCTTATATGCCTTATTTATTTGATTTAGTTCATATCGTTATGTGCCAATATACTATAGTTAAAAGTGTTATATCTGTCCAGATAATTAATTTTTAAAGAAATATATAGATGATCGTAGCTAGTTTATTTGTTAGAACTTCTGTTCTAATTATAAACTGCTCTTGTTTGTTACACAGATATTTATATCCATGGGACGATATAACTAAGAAATTGGGTACAAATCTCTGTGAACTTCCGTCTTCTAGGCCGAGATATTCTTCTTCAGTACAGAATTCAAATCCTGTCGTTACCACCTGTGCTTCAAACAATTCTGTCTCTGTCAGCACATCTGTCTCTGGTAATAACACTAAATCTTCACGTATCAAACAGTCTTCCGATTCTGTTAATTTGGATACGGAACGCAAAAACAATATCGATGTAATTGAAACAACAGAGACTTCAAACACAGAAGAGGATAAAAATGTGCGGACTACTGCTGTTACCAATACCACTAGCATCATCCCTACTACTGCCGCCACCACCACCACTACTGCCACTAAAAAACGAGCTTCTGATAAGAATTGTGTAAGTTTTATTGTTGTTGTGAATTGCAGGAAATTAAGTCCATATACTCTTGTGAAAGGTTTGGTGTTGGTGTTGGCTGATTTACTTGTCTGTCTAATAATGCAAGTGACTATTCATAGATATCCATCCAAAATTTGTTGTCGATTGATAGCTTGCAAAAAAATTGAACATTGAGTGAATAGTATTTATTTGTAATATTTGTATTGCTAATTCAATGAATAAAAAGCAAGATAAGGTAGTAAAAGTAGCCTTGTTTAAATGCTACCCAACATCCAGATTAAGCCTGAATGGAACGCAGATGTCTGTCCTCCAATGCTCGTTGAAGTTAGGTAGGCTGTATCGAACCTGAAACGATGCAAGCGGAAAAACCTAAGGGACTGCCATCTGAAGTTTTTAAGGATGGAGGTAGAAAATTGCTGGTTAAACTGACGGAGGTGCCAGGTAGCGTATGGGAATTAGAAGTAGTGTCGTCAGACTAGTGTAATTCGCTGGTCATCGCAGTCTATAAGAAACGAGAGAACTCTTCTTGTGACAACCATAGGAGGATTAGCTTGGTTGGTGTTGTGTCCAAGAGCAGAGGGTTTGCAGTTATGCGACGCCTAACTGGAGGTCGAGAAAACCAGGCAGGTTTCAGACCTGGACTAGGGTGCATGAATGACATTTTTACCCTCTGACAGGTTGTGGAAAACAGGTGTGCTTTCAGGCGGCCGGCACTTGGCGTGTTTCTTAACCTGAAGGCGGCATTTGACTGTGTCGATCGCGAGGTGTAATGGTAGTGTCTGACTGTGAAGGAACTATCGAGGAAGCACATAACGCTAATCAAAGCTCTCTACTGGAACTCACGCAACTATGTAAGGGTTTATGGAGAGTTGTCGTGTGGATTGATGGCAGCTAGTGGTGTTCACCAGGGATATCCAGTGTCACCGTTCCTATTTCACTTCGTCATAGACGTACTAATGGACACAACCTTAGATACGTCTGACTTCACTGGGATTAACATACTCCCTGGATGTAATCTGATTGATTCGGTTTATGTAGACGATATTATCATGCTGAGTGAATACGATGACAAAATGCAGGGTCTTCTGGATAGTTTTAACAGAAGTCTGAGTATGTATGTCTGGCACGCGTTTCGCACCGGTCAAATTTAAGATGATGCTTCAGGACTGCTCTTGTGGAAGTACTCCCAGTTTAATGATAGGGAGTGAGGTGGTGGAATGTGTCGATCACTTCACTTGGGGAGTTACATCAACCCGAACAGGCAGGTTACTGACGAAATCTCACCTGGGATACATAAAGTTCGTTTGGCATTCCCCAACTTGAGTCGTGCGCGGCACCGACTGGTAACATATCTGACCGTCTATTAAAGGACGAGTATATTGCACTGTAGACTGTTCTGTCCTGTTGTACGGTCGTGAAACATGGCTGTTAAAAGTAGAAAACATGAAGCGATTAGTGAGTTTGGATCACGGATATCTTTGTAGCATTGCTCACGTTTGGTGGAATCCCTGTGTTAGCGATGCTGTAGTCAGGTGAAGAATACTAGACGAGATAGGCAAGTCAATTGGTGACGTTATGAGTCTTAGTCGACTGAGATGGTTTGGATTGTTTATCCTGTCATACAACTTTGTCTGCTTTGTTATCACTCCTTTTCTGTCCACCTGTTCTTTGTATACTACTGTGAATTGTGACGACGTCAGCCGATGCGCCTGTGTACGTGGTTCTACGTTGTCTGTATCTGTTTTACCTATAGTTTCGTATACTTTCAGGTTATCGACCAGCAATCGGCTTCCTATTTCAAACAAACAAATGACGAGTACATTGCTCAGACGACCCCAATACGGAAGTCAAATTCATCGAGTGAAAAATCATCTAAATCTGGATCTACTGTTGATGGCTTAGATAAACCAAATTTTTCAGATTCATCAAACAGTTCACGAAAGTCTCCATCTATGAAGGGATCTATAAAATCTTGTGATCGTGCAGCGATTGATTTTCCATTAATAAACTTCGGTAGAGAAATGGTTGGGATTATGGAAGATTCATCTAATCGTGTAAGTTTACGCGCTATTTTTTCAAGTTAAAAATGTTATGTAAGGAATACTGAAAATGGAGATGCGGAAGATTAGCTTAAGTATTTGGTTATCATTTTGACTATCTGATATATCTGTGGTTTGGCAGATTAGTATTTATACTTGATGATGATTGAGGGTGAAATGGAAATTCGGACCGCGGCCGGATTCGAATCAGCGACCATTAGGTTACCCGCCCGACGCTCTACCAACTGAGCTACGAAACAGAAGGTGATGACCAGATTTTAATTCTCTTCAATCACCAAAGTTTTTCCCCGATTACCATGTGAATTTGTGACGCGTTACTACCTCTTGATCGTACTCACACTGACTACCTAGTCAGGACTTGCTACCAAAACGTTTTGGGTTGAAACCTTTCTCCATCCTCTTTACTCCAGTCGTTATACAGTAAGTATGGCTCAAGGGCTAATACATAAAGCCTCTACTGAGTTGAGTTGCATTATTTTCTAATCATTAGTATCATTCTCCGATTATTTCATGTGTCGTGAAATCACTGCCTACCCAGTTGCATAATATCTATTTTTCAGTTTGTCGATATCAACATAGGGCTTAGAATTATTGCATAGCGGTTCGAGCTGCCACACTTCACATCAAGATTACCATAAAGCAGGATGGAAAACAAAAGTAGAAGGGATGAAATCAGAAGTTGTAGAAAGTCATAAGAATGAGAAAAAAGAGAAGGTAACGCAAATAATAAATGCGAGATATTGATTAGGATGAAGATGAAATCTGACTGCATCTATGTGATTGCAATCAATTTCGTATTATGTCACCTGGAGTCTCCAACCATTGGTTTCAGTTGCTTTGTTTTACTCTGGCCCTTCCTAACCGCTATCCAGAGCTAGCATACTGTGACCAGCCGTATGTGACCGGGAGGACCGTAACTTGACATGCGTAGCACATACCTGAGCCGCTTCAGTAGATCATTGTTTACAAATTTCTCAAGTGACTTACTTCTTTTATCTAAGACTCTAGGCTTAGCCTGTACACTCTTTACTAGGTAGTTCCACGACACAGAAGTAATATCATGGAGGTAAGCGTTGTTAAACACTTGGAGCTCTTCTGACCTCCAACATCATTGACTGGTACTATAGGGAAGAGTGAATTGCTCCTGAATAAACTCGACCCCTGGTAAGCAATGGGATATATTTATGGTGTCACAGGTGTTCTAAGTTGGCAAACATCATTCTAGAATTTTCTATGCATGCAAAAGTTTCACCCATCACTAACTTGCGAGAGCTTATTCGCTCTTTCAAGGAACTCGATTTTCGCAGATTAGACGAACTTCATAGAGGTGAGATACACTTTTTGAATCAATAACATTACATGCAAGATACCTGAGATCTGTTTTGCATCCCTGAGATAGCACAATATTCTGATCTTGTGAATTAGTTGGTAGTAATAAAAATCAATTTATGCAACACAATCGTTTCTGTATCCTTTCCCGAAGAGAATGAGAACAACAATCTATCAATTAAGAGTGGCTTTAGTGTTCATATTCGCTGATAGTTTGATTAGGCCATTGACACCTTTTATTGAAGACAAGATTATTGTTCATTTGTGAGTTAGCGATCTTCCTTTGTCTCCTCTGTGGGGGTTAGTGGTAGTGGAATCAACTTGAACATAGCAACTTAGGGCAATATTAATCAATAGGACCAGCGTTTGGCATATCCCTCAATCCGTTAACCACAGGACCAAATAAGCAACCCAAAACAAAGTTAAGAACAGTAGCGATGGCGATATTATCAAACAAGCAACCTAACAAATATAATGTGTCTTAACCCAGAATTGGTTTATGCTTTAAGCCACGAGTTACACTAATCGTGTGAGGGTTCACTATGCTCTCTACTGATCCAAGTCTAGTTATTTTCTTAATTTTAATACTTTTTATGTTACTATAGTTAAATAAGAATAAACGTATGATGAAAAAAACAATGAAAACCAAAGTTGGCCTAATATATCCAGCTATTTTTAATTTTCTTCATAGGTTATTCCTGTTCGATCACGTGTACGAGTTCGTTGTGGCGACCATATTACCTACGAGGCTAAAGTTTTAAAACATTTACGTCCTCAACCAATTGTTTGTGGTTTGAATACAAATACTTCTGGTGATTCATCAACTGCTGCTGCTTGGGCTGGTGTAGGTGATATACAATATTGTGTTCATTATATGGGTTGGAATACAAGACATGATGAAGTTGTCCCCAGATCTCGTATAATGTAAGATCATGTTTAATTTGTTAAAGCTTTTTATTATCTATCCTGCTGTCATATTAACATTTCCTGTGTAAACTCTGTGAAGATGCCAACCAACACTCCATTGGAAAAAAATTGTTATTTCTGTAGAGAAAATTATAATCGGACAGCTGTAAGGTGATTTGTTAGTATTAGAATTGTGCATGATATTCCAGGGTTAAAACCTATGGTGGATGTATTGGAGCCTGAATGAAGCAGGTATATCAAGTTCGAAATAGAATCAGACATATTTTAGTCGTTAACACTAACCATCACTAAATACTGTCGTTTGCAGATAAAATGGCGTATTTTAGATCGTATGAGAAATGGAGTTGAGATGAGTCTTGGGTTTCGAACTCCACTCCATGTTTAGAGGTGATATTTGTGACTTGTAGCCTAGAGCAAGTGGCTTCATATGCTTGTTGAACTACATTATCTGATTATATCACTCAATTTTGTCTACTCGCTGTATGGATCGCCGTAGGTCCTAACTGCTACTGTTTAGTCAGTGCCTTCAGTTAAGTGATTTATTTATAAGAAATTCTTTTCAGTAAAAGTTATTGTCATATAACTTTCTCAACTGTTGAAGTTGAATGACTCCTTCAGGTCGAAACCTTACCCCCTGGCAAGTACACCTGTTGTAATGAATGGACGGTGGGTATATTTAAAAACAAGCTTGTAACCCATTTGTTTCCCTCGAGTTCCAGTTACTCCTTGAATTACTTTTGAGTCGAGAATTATAGACAATACACTGGTTAAATCCATTCCTCTGTGGTTGTCATGAAATGATTGCTTTCCGTTCCACCCGTAATTGCAGTAATTACCGTATGAATAGATCTCTAACTGATCTTTCTTCAATCCAGTCCCACTAAGTACCTTCACAAGGGACTTCTTAATGAGTCTGAAGAACTACCTGATATCTTTCATATTAGATTAGTCTATTAGATATATCACATAATGACAAAGTATTCAGTAAATAATAATCTTGATCAATAATACAGTATCCTTGTGTGTTGTATCAAACAGGCTAATCTAATATGAACTTACATTCTAACACAATACCCAATTTTTATGCTTATGTTACCTTATATCTCCTCTTTGATAATTTGTGTAAACTCTTCATCGGCTTAAATTTTAGCTAATTCCATTTTTTATTATGTTCAAAGCCTATTTATTTGCATCGCCATACGTTCAATGATTCAGATATATACTCACTATTCAGACATGTGCTTCAAAAAAAGTGAAAATACTGTTCTAGTTTTCTACACCCAGTACCAGATGACGATATAAAAGCAGCCATTGTCTATCATAGTGCTGAGATCGGTAGCAGTAAATTTAATAGAACTGCAGGCATAAACAAACGAAACTTGACGTAAACAACTCACCTGATAACTCATCATAGACTCTAATGAGCCCACAGGTATCCAATTCAATTCGTTTATCGATGCATTTTATTCTTCAGCAGGAAATCAAGACCAAATCATCCCAAAAATGTGTTGTACTAGCTAATTATCGATAATTTTCAGGCTTAAACAACCGCGTATGATCTAGTCACTGTAAGAATTTTGTAAGATATTGAACATTTTTGTGACCTCAATAACTGACGTAGGTTAAAAGCAGTTTCAAGTTAATTTTTAAACCGGAGCTTAGCCATATATTTTACTGTGATGCATCAAACCATCTAATTATTGCGTAGTCTACAAGATTTGATAGGGAGTCATTACTTACTAACCACAAAGCCTAGGCTATATTAATATCCAGAACTGAAACTTATTTGCTGCTAGAAGTTCAGTAATGCACTTGTGTGTGATTTGCAGTGATCGTGGTCTGTTGAAAGCCTATCATATATAAAATTAGTTCACTGGGTAAATGATCACATTGAATTGGGTAGTTGCTTACGTCGTTCTTAAGGATCTTGTGTCATTGGAGCGTTGTAATGCAAGCTACTTTTACCCATAATACTGTGTTTGACAGGTCGCGTAGGCGGGATAGATCAGAATTGGCTTGTCCTTGTTGTACATAATTGATCGGAATAACTATGCTTGCATATTCAAATAAATGGTGCGAATGGTCCACCGGGATGAGAGCACCTGTATGGTTGGGCCACACAATGAGACTGCATACCGTCCTGACTTTAAAAAGCCTAGATGTTTATTCGGCTTTCCTGAGAGCCTATGTATGAGTTATCCGTGTAAATGACTTGTATATCATTCTGCGAGTAAACCGGTTTATCTTGCCAGTAACCATATACTTGTCTCAAAGATTAAGTCATGCATGTCTAAGTACATACCTTAATGAGATAAAACCGCAAATCGCTCATTAAATCAGCTATGATTCCTTAAATCTTAACGGTCCTCAATGCACCGATTAGTATAGTCAGTGGACAGGTGACTTGTGATCCATTTGAGGGGTGAACGTTTTGCAAGATTGCAAGAACTTGCCTTCAAATCTTCAGCAACTTAATAAATAAATTTTGCATGTTTTGTGCAGTGGACATATGAAGTTAAGATAATGACTACACTTTATTCATGTTTCAAAAATAGAGGACACTTCCATAACCGGAGACGCGAGTTTCGGTTAGCAAAGTTTGTTTGCCGATTTGATGGAGGATGTGGTCATTCAGGCATCTGATATGTAGTTTGGAGTCCGGTTCCAGGTGATAAGAGATGATGTTGCGTGAACTGAAGTCATTGCCGGGAGCTGTAGAGTTGGAAGAAATTAACTGTTATGTAGGAATATTTATCGAGAGATGTAGGGAAAGATTAGAAGATAAAGATGTGGAGGGTTTATAATGATCTGAGGGAAATCGAGTGCTGATAGAGTTGTGAGGGTAGTCGACACTTCGCAAAGTTACTTCTTGAGGTACCTGATAAGGAAATTGAATCAATAATAGTGGTGCATGACCGTAGAACCCAAGGGACATCTACCTAAGGCCAGTCACATGTGACTTTTCGGGAAGTTCACTGTTTAGCTTTGATCGATTTACATCTAGCTGGAACACACACGTCTGGCACCGAAAGACTTCAGGGTAGGGAGGGATGTACTATTTTCGAGACCGATCTTTCCTAGCTTCCATTTTTCTATACGGAAGACAGCGTCAACATAGTCTTCCGTGGGAAACAGCCTACCGTTGTTACACTCTAGTGCGGTCAGCAGTACAACTTCATCCTCGGATCCCTATCATCGTGTGGCAATTTACACAATAACGGTAAATACTTTTTGTCTTACCACTATCCAACAGACGTTTCTAGCGTGATAGGAGCTCAAGAGGATAAGTATTCCACTAGCATACGTAACTCTTTGCATCATTGTGGTATGGAAACCCGACCACTAGGTCAAAGTAGCGGCTATCGGTTTAACTTGAACCTAAAACAGTGCTTATAAAACTATTATCTGTGCCAATTTACGACGTATTCACATAGTGATTAAAATAACTAACTGGTTACTAATATTCTGTTTAAACTACGTTGTTTACAAATGAAAATTAAGGAGAATTCAAACAAACTACTATTTGTTTTCTCATAGAGATCACTTTTTCTTCTCTAATTTGAGTTACTACAAATTTCATTCTACTTTTTGTCTAATTAATCCTTGGGATTTGTTTTTCTTTTATGTATATAGTTCTGTCATAGAATGGGGTCGTGGTACAGATGAAGATCGTCCACCTTCTTGTTCGTCTCTCAGTCCAGTTATCCATGAACCTCGAAAAGGCAACTCAATTAAAAGTCGGAGTACATCGTTTTCGAAAGATTCTTACTGTAGATCATTGGGCTCTATAGATACAAATGTGAATGAAAAAGAATCAACAGACAAACAAGAGCAAGATGATTTGTGACAGATGATAATGAAGCTGAAGATGAAGAGAGTAATCTAAGTCAAACTACTGAAACGGCATCTGATAATATTACTACAATGGCACCTGTTGTTCGGCGTCGTCGTTTGATGTTTATTTCAAATAAGCCTGGTAGGCGAATTTCTTCCCGAAAACCTGGATTTACTCTCAAAAATAATGAACCATGCTCTAAAAAAATATCAAAGTTGCCTTTAATATCAGGTACATTTCTACCTAAATCTCATTCTCGTGTCAGCAGGAATAACAAACCTGAAGAAAGTAAACTATTGACCAAGGATTCCATTACAAAGAAGATAAAAACTACACGTAAGTCTTCATCTTTATCTATTGTTGAACTGAAAACTAACAGGTAAAAACAGGTTAGTGAAATTTTTGTCCATTGAAATTAATATACTTTTCTGTGTGGATTGGATCCAAATAACTTCCTGCTTAAGAAGAGTAACTCAAACTGTACTCTAATTATAGCGTTAACTCCAGAGGATCAATGAAACATCTAGATTGCTACGAAGTAATTATAAACTATCGCTAGTGGGCTGATTTGTTAACCTTTTTGTCTATTGTTTATTTGAGTTTTGAAGGAGTTGTGGAGATTTGGAAATATTTCAAGTTGTTATTCATTGTAGATTGACATCAGTTGGAGGAACAAAGGGAACCTGGGAGCACTGGACAACTGTTTCGTCCTAGGACCAGGGGTCGGATCCACGACCTTCAGATTCCGTGGCCAGCACGTTACCGTTGAGCCATGGGGTCAGAATCCAATGGTCCATATTTCCAACTTCTGTTGGCTCACGATATAACGCAACCGCCACCCAACATCATCGTTGAGTAACTGTCCTCACTACCATCAGGCTTTGGCCCCACTGGTCACAACACAACATCAGATCTGTTATCATGTCTTCCATTTTCATGGCCATAATTTACTTGTGGAACAGAAATATGGTGTATTCCAGTTATTATTTTTCCTACTTATTTATTTTAGTGATTGCAACGAAAATCCTTTGGGATCACTTGACTAGAATGGGCCGAAGTAGCTTCACTTGTCAAGCTACTTCACTGTCGATCGATAGTGGTTATCAGTAATCATTAATTTTCTGCTGTTAAGTGAGAGTTTGGATTATTGTGGAGCTGTGGCTCATTGTTTTAGGGAAATAGGTCACTGGTTCGAGCCCCGTTCCATTTACCAAGGTTTGGGCAGCCAGATAGTATCACCAACCCTCACAATAGGTGTAGCTCATTGCCTACTGCACAAATGTGCACAAGGCTGCTGAGTGCATTTAGATTTGATTTCAAGTTGGTATTCATCATGGACTGACATCAGTTGGAGGAACATTGGAAACCTAAGAGCACTGGACAGCCGTTTCACCCTAGTGTAGGACTCCTCAATAATGCGCACCCATAATCCCACCAGAGATCGAACTCAGGACCTTCAGGTTTCGTGGTCAGCACATTACCATCGAGCCGCTGGGTCCGATCCCTAGCGAGTTCGTGGGTCCGCACTGCTGAGGAGTGCCACACTGGGACGAAATAGCTGTCCAATGCTCCGAGACTTCCAATGTTCCTCCAACTGATGTTAGTCCGTGATGAATACCAACTTGAAAGAAATCTGTGAGTTAAAGCGACGAATACTGGAAGGCTCCAGTTGTTACCGGTCTAACAGTTCAATCATATGAAAATAGATCCTGTAAATTTAAATGTTCCTTATAATCACACTGTCTTCACTTATCATACAGATAGATTAGTCAACGTTGAATATGGCACAGAAGTTCATCTTTTCAAGTTGCCACACTTCACAACTGTATGCGAGTTGAGAGAAGAAACACATGAAGTTTACTGAAAATATTCCAAACCTCGAAGATGATGATGTGACAGATTTTCAACCATATTCACCACAAGTTCCCAACCAATATTTCTTATCATCTTGAGGACCCCCCAGACAGACAGTCTAGACCTGAGTACTTGGCTCAGACCATGAATTATAGTCTACACTTATCCATGTGACTAGTACAAATGAACCTGGATGTCCAAAACCCTAATTCAAAGCAGAGTTCGAATTCATGACATACTAGTTGGATTTATAGTATGTAACACCGTGAATGTGCATAGTATACACTTTTACTTGCACGAAATCTATAACTCATTTAAATACAGAACTCGATAATGATAGATTACAGATTCGAACGCACTTTGAATCTAACTCAGATTATTGAAGCTCACATTACTTCTATGCGAAAATAATAAATATGGTTACTAGGTTGTGTGGTTAGAGATTATTTCTAGCATACTTTCGAATGTTTTGTAGCGAAATGACTGATTTTCGAGTTATTTTTTTATTGGGAAGCATTTAAACTATTTAACTAGGGGTGAGAAACAGGGATTTAGTCCTAAAACCCTTAGGTCTTAGATCCTTTGACGAACATGTTACCATTCAACCTTTGTGTTGAAATCACAATCAGTCGATGAACATGTGTAAAGTAAATTATATTTGCAGTGCATTTTTCATATACAGGTTTTATCAACTTGACTGTTAGCCTTATGTACCAGTGTGCAGATGGCTAGTGATACGGCTTGGACTGAATTCATGAACTTACAGTTAACTGCTAGATGATTAAATTCATTGACTACATTTTTATTTGAACAATACAAGAACAAAGACATTTACAGAATAAAATGAGCTCATTTGATTTCATGGCCTTTCATCAGCTACAAACAGCCTACAATTGGAGTGAATTATTATTAGTAATAATAATACAACATACTTTAAACACAGAAATAAATGGAGGTTTGAAATCGAAGATGATTAACAATAAGGTAGTAAGATTTCAAGTTGTTATTTATCATGGACTAGAAAAAAAGGAAACCTAGGAGCACTGGACAACTGCTTCGTCCTAGTGTGGGACTCCTTAGCAGTACCCGCCCACGACCCGGCCGGGGATCGAACCCAGGTCCCATGGCCAGCACATTACCGTTGAGCCACGGGGTCAGAATCCAGTGGTCCATATTTTTTAACTTCTGTTATCTCCCTTAAAATAAGGTAGTAAATCAGGGAAACACGGGAGTATTAGTTACATATCTTAGTCAAAATCAATAGCAATTTATATCTGATGAGATGGAAAGTTCTGGAGCTATGGAGTGGGGAGGGGGGGAGAACAAACAAAAATCAGTGTAAAAGAAGGGATTATTTAAGGGCTAGTAGATTACATAATTACATGAAAATTTGAAAACCATTAGTTGATTCATATTCAGTAAGTAATTAATGAAAAAATGGTGTAATTAAAAGAAAAGGGAAGACTATATACATACATATGCAAAAGATTATTTACATCACCTTTCTTTACCTTGGTAAATGTATATAATTTTCTGCAATATGTATGTTATGTAGTCTTCCCTTTTCTTTTAATTACATCATCTCTTCATTAATTACTTACTGAATATGAATCAATTAACGATTGTAAATTGTCTTGATTTTAACTAAGATATGTAACGAATAATTTTGTGTTTCCTTGACTTACTACTTTATTGTTAATCCTGGATTTCAAATCTCTATTTGTTTCTACATGTTTAAAGTATATCATATTATTATTACTACTAGTAATTCATTTCAATTGTAGGCTGTTTGTAGCTGATGAAAGGCCATGAAATCAAATGAGCTCATTTTATTCTATAAATGTCTTTATTCTCTTGCATTGTTCATATTTGCTAAGGGAACTAAATGTATGATACATTTTTATTGCATAATAATTCAATGAAATAAATAATGTAAAAAGTTTCTATCTTGTTATCATTATTATCTAGGTGATAGTAAATCTACTTTACGATCAGTTAGTTTACGTGAACGCATTGGTAAAATAATCAAGCCAGTCAAACGTTCACGATCAAATTTATCAATAACTTCTGATATTGCTAATATCAGTTCTCCTAAGTATTCCTTTGAAATTTCTGTGAATTCAAAGAAGTTAAAAGTTGAGAATCCTTTGAATGAATCAATTAATGAATTAGATCCATCATTACAACTGAAGTTGTCAGTAATGGATAAATCTTCAACTGATTTTCAAAGAAATCGGTTGATAATCAACATAGTGATCAATTATCTACAAAGAAGTCCAGTCGACGGGATCTTATCAATACAAAAAGATGTACATCTATTGGTCTATCATCTGCACCGAAGTTATCATCAACTTTTAGTATGTTTCTTATTGTTGGTGCATATAAATTCATCAGAATTACAATTATATAATCATTTAGTCAAATTACATATTATATCTTAAGCACTAGTTAACATTATTAGTTGACTACTGATGATATCATTGCAATTGTAAGCTATTGAAATACCAAGTTACAGGTTGTTGTTAATTGGTGGGTTACTGGGGCAAAATTAACCTGAAATCAATAAATCCCCATAAACCTCAAAATTGAGATAATCTAGTGCTCATTGATGATTACCTTCAAGATGTGATTCCCGGAGTTCCAATGAGAAGTGGTAACCGATGGGGCCAACTAAATCGAACATGGAGACAGTTACTCAACAATGGTATTGAATGGAGGTCGCGCTATATCATGAACTGACAAAAGTAGGAAACATGAACCATTGAATTCCTAGCCAGTGACTCAATGGTGACGTGCTGGTTGTGGAGCTTGAAGCCCCCGGGTTCTATCCCTGGTTGAGGAGTCCCATACTGGGACTAAACATCTGTCCAGTGCTCCAATGTTTCTCCAACTGATGTCACTTCGTGATGAATACCAACCTGAAAAAAAAATTAAAAGTTAGCGATTCTGGGATCCAAAAGTCCCGAATTAAGTGTGTACTTGTATATTTTCTGGTCACAATGGTTCTTGAGGTTGATCAAAAAACTTCCATTTTGGATGAGACACTTAACTGACACTCAGAATCCTATCTTCATGTTAGCATTTACAAAACAGTACACTTTTATGTGATTTAATCAGTTGTTTTCACTGTAAAATCTGTCTTTAACTGAAGTCAACCGAAATCAAGGTTAATGCTTGTAAGAATGAAAAAAATCACTAGATGCGGCTGAATTTGCCTATAACCTGTTTCCGTGAGGGATCCTTACCACTTATCTCCAGCCGCAAAAATCGAACTGTTTACGTGTTTACTGGAAGTTAATATAGTAGAAATGTGTGATTCATTTGGTCAGTGTTGTGCTTCCACATTACATGCCCATAGTAGAACCATATCGTGTGAATGGAACAGAGATTACGTATTACGTAAAGTTGGTTGGTGAGTTTCCATCACCATCTACCTGGACTAGCAATAGTACGATTAAATCAGATAACAGCTTAAAGTGACTAGCACACTATTTGACATTGGCTTTTGAAGTTTCTCTGGCTATAATTCTGAACTGTGTAGGAGAGTATAAGCTTCCTATTTAGTGTCCCCAACGCAAATGAAGTCCACGTCTTATAAGTAGATATCCTTGCTGAAAATCGATCTCAGCTAGGCAGATAACTTCATACCTTGATTATTATTATTATTATCGAGGTAGTATTCATCACAGACTGACATCATTTGAAGAACGATTGAAAACCGCAGAGTGCTGGACAGCTGTTTGATTCAACTGATTTCAGTATGTGATGAATACCATCACAAAATTGAAATCCCTATTAACCTCATAATACAATATTATTATCATTTATCTTCATTTCCCTACTACCTTTTAGTTTTATCTTTGAGTATGGTTTTTCTTTCATCTTTTTGATTTCATGAATTTCATCCATTTTGATACCTTGATAAGGTAGAAAGAACTAGATTTGCAGCATAAAATGATTTCATTTTATTTCACGGAATACTCCTCAGCTGCATTCACTCTAAGAGTACAATGGTTACTAGTACATAAGGTAATTAAAAATTAAGAAATTAATGATGAAATGGTGGAGAATATTTGTAGCTCAGGTGGGGATGGTCTTGGTTTTATTGTGTTCTCTGAGCTAAGTTGTTTATTAAACAACCGAATTAATTGAACAGAGAAAGAAGAAATGTAAGAAAATAATTAATAATGTCAGATAACAATAAAGTTATGTAATAACAATGAAACAGGATCAGGTTACAGTCATCATGGAACTGAGAGCTTCATCACATTCTCCTTCTCTGTGCAGGGGTCCAGTTGAAAGCTTTCTATAGAAAACGGTTTCACGAAATGCAGTAATCCAACCATTTTATGTTGGGTTGTTATTTCATAAGCTTTGGACGTATCAACCTGTGAGGTATCTGCCAATTGCACTAGTCAGAATCTTGCTTTCTTTCAGGCATCGATTCTTCGGGATATTCTCAGGGAACCAGATGAGTTTCCTTCTCATATACTTGCCATCTCAAGTGCATATTAATGCAGGGTAATCATCCAATTTGTAGTGGTTTAGTGAGTATACAGTATCATGTACTGATACAAGTTTGGCTGTAGAAAACCTTTTCGTTTGGTTCTCGTGTTTATACTCTCCGATATTACATCTTCCTTGAATACAAGGCGAATAAAAACCTCATTGTCAACAGCTGGGGGCTTAATTCTGTCGACTTATAGCTTCACACACTTGATAATAACCCTTTTAGAATATCCATTCTAAGATACGTTCAATAATGTTTACCTCCTACTTTAGCTTACCTGCAGAATATGAGTTTCAAGTTTCGCTGTAAAGTGTTTTGACTAGCTTACACGTATAGCTGATAAGACGGAAGCTATTGTGGTTCAATTCTCTAGTCCATGTATGTTTTCCGTGGATGGTCTTTTCAATCGAACCATCTTTTCTTTTTCTCACATTGATGTGCGAAACGCTTGACTTGTTGTCATTCTCATAATACATCGTAAATTTAATGTTTAGAGGGGTCTCGTTATGCCTATCGAACAGCTGAGTTGCATGGTTGATAACATTGCAAACAACAAGTGTGTTGTCAACGTCGTTTCTGTGACGACTGAACTCAGACACGTCTGTACGAAATAGTCCATTAAGATATTTGCCATAACATGTCCTGTAGCTCAACGCATGGTTGCTGCATCAATCCATCGATAAAGGTGTTTATTGAATTGGGGCTGGACACCTTTCCTGCAAAGGAGTAGTAACTGTTTCGTCCTGATTTATGGTAACTGCAGTAAATCAGTTTATTGACGGATTATATAAATTTTTTCACTCACTGGTGTATATGTAAGTAAGGCTGTGACATCGTGTAACACCATGAGATTGTCTGAAAAGTCGACATTATGTAGTTCGTTGGAAAAATGAAATGTATCTTTTAATGTGTGGGTTTTCCAACTTACTCTGGATAGCCTCTAAAGATGTATACCAGTTTGTGACAGGAAGAAATAACCGTTGACCTTCTAGGTCTGAAGAGTGGGTGTGATTTAGGAATTTTGGTTCTACCACATATATCAACGGGGGACGTGGATCTTTTGGTTCGATTTCATGATATGTTGCATCGTCAATCTATTTCTTCTTCAAAAGATCTCCAAGCTGTTTGTTTACTTTTTTTCTTCAAATTTTAATACCACATTCGTTGTAGTGCCATCTGTATATAATCTCACTGGGTGACTAGGAATTGTTAACGTTTTATTGATATAACCATTTTTGTTCATTATGACAACAGCAGATACTTTATCAGGCCTGAATATAACAGTATCTACTTTTATATGCACCTTTGGCAGCTCCAGTTTGTGCGCTTTGGTAAAGATTTTTCGATTGTCCAGATGATAAATATTACTCTTTGGCTATGTCAACGAGCTTAGACTTCAGGCAACCTCTCTTATCTTCATCTATCAGCATCAAATCCGAGTGTTGGTAGTATAAGTTTTCGAGTTGTGTTCGTCTCTTCGATTGGTGCATTTTGTTACACTATGAAACTTAAATTCGAGAAATAGAGTTTCAACGTCAACTTGACGTAGATCGGTGTTTCATAAGCTGCGTTTATGCTTCTCAGTGTTTTCAGGGAAATCCACATACAAGTTTTCGATTCTACAGCAATTTGAATCATTGAGCAGTCCTACCAAATCCTGTACTATTTCTGTCTGTTGTTTGTTATGGGTTATGTGAATTTCTTTCTAAAAAATGTGGAACCGAAGCGAAATCCCAACAATAAACCAAACTCTCGAGTTACGCGTAAAATCCAAAACACAGGATTTATCTGAAATACGGTTCTATATTAATGAACAATGTTGAGTAGTAAAATACAAACCTTGAATCATGAGGTATCTGTGGGTTTATCTCTATCAAAGCACATTATGAAGAGTGCGTTATTAGTAAAAACAGCAAAGCCGTGTCCAAGCAACCAAAGGGAATATGAAAGACGCGCGTAAGGTCTCACGAACAGGTAAATATACAAGATAAACAAATGTTCAAAGTAAAATAGAACATTAGAGAACGACGGAAGAAATTATAATACCATCATGGACTGTGAAAGATACCAATATGTAGGGACGCTAAATGGTGAACAAGATATGACTGAACAGAATGAATAGTCAAATTTGTGAACGAAGGGATATTTTAAGGGAACATGAACTATACTACTCACTAGTACTAAGTAGTATGAATAAGGATATAAAAAGGAAATGCAAAGGCAATATCCCATAAGGTAAACGAGAACAGGTTACATATTTAGATATCAGCTTTCGAAATCTTGATATATGTATGTCATATTTTATCAAAGATTTACTGAGTTTCTCTAAATTATGCAAGTAACTCTTTATATTGTTTTCCTTTTTCATCACTTACAGAATCCAGATTAGCCTCTTCATCGACTACAGTTCGAGCCAAGAAATTTGTCTCCAAACTGTCAAAATTAGCAAAGCGTAAAACTGTTGTCAATGAATCAAGAATCTTGTCAAGGAGAACGGCTAAACTATTGAATCATAACATCAGCAGTAATGAATTCTCACTTGATGTTGATGACTCCTTAAAATCTAAGCTCTCTGAATCATTTTCTCCTACAGGTAAAAATGAAGAAAACTCTAGAAAATCAAATCACCTGGATGAAAATAGCAGTCGACAATCTGCTTTTAAGGGTCATCAAAATGTCGGTTGCTCATCATCATCATTAATAACAACAATAGCAACCGCATCAAATACCTCTGTAACAGTTAAATATGAAGACAATAAATCCATTTCATCGGTAAGAGATTTACCATTGAAAGATTGCATAAACAAGAGGCAATGGAAATATAGACTATTTAAAAAATTTACTGGTAAAAATGCTACACTATCAAAAGTGAAGCCTAATAGATTCATTACAAAACACGATAAATTCAAGCTTTTATCATCAAGTCGAATGAAAAAACGTAAATTGAATGTATCATTCCTTCAAAAAAAATTTAAACGAAGATTTGGTTCATACTTTTCGACAAATGATGATAATGGTGTATTTTATCGTGTTAGTCTTTGCAATTATTATTATTTTTTGCATCATATCTACATTCATTGTTCCACTGTTTCACTCTTAGCTTTTGTTGTGTTCGATTATTGCTCTAGATGAATTGAGGAGAGTTACTACAGTGGTTTGGAGTCATAGAACAAACTCAAGAAAGGTGTAGGTCGACTGGTGGATGTGGACACTGACAAAATGAAGTACCTTGTGAACGCGTTGAGCAGAAATCTAAGTATGCTTGATTGGCATGCGTTTCGCATCTGTCAAGTAAGAGATGATGCTACAGGAGTGATCTACTGCAATTACTCCCAGTTTAGTGACAGGGAGTGAAATGATGGAGTACGTTCATCACTGGTGAAATGTCTGACTATCTATCAAAGGACGAATGTAATGCGCTGTAGTTTGTTCTATCATGTTATATGGCTGAGATATGGCTGTTGAAAGTAGAAGACATGAAGTGATCACAGGGTTTTCAACACAAATGTCTTCGTAGCAGTGGTTGCGTTTGGTGGAATCACCATGTGAGCAATGTTGAGGTCAGGCTAAGAATACTAGACAAGACAGGCAACTTGATTGGTGAGGTTGTAAACCTTCATAGGCTGAAGTGGCTTGGACATATGTACCTCAACGTGCCATGTTAGTGGAAGTTGGATGAGGTTGGGAGACGGTTCAGGGTTGTCAGATTATGACATGACACCAGTCAATAAAGTCTCTTGATGTTAGTCTTGGTCGTGTGGGGAGATGTAGGCTGTCTGGTTGGGGTGAGGAATCAGCGCTCAGCAATATGGCTGGAATTCGGTCACAATGGTGCAGGTGTACTCACTCCTTGAAATCTATAGCTTGAATATTCACATTCACCTTTCTCTTCAAATTTTTTATTCTCTCACACTGCTTTATCTACTTTGATATCACTCCTTTACTATCCACTTGTTCTTTTTGTACTTCTGTCAAGTGTGGCAACTTGAGCTGATGCACTAGTGTGTGCGACTCTACTTTGGTTTTGTCAGTAAATTAGGTCGACTGGCTGAGATAGACGACTTTCAATCAAATGGCTGACAGGTTCTAGTTCTGCTTAGCCTTCTAGGGTTTGTGAAACCAGGCCATATCATTAATTTTGAGTTTCAATTTTTTAGTACTACAATTTATTGTTGGCTTATGAAGGATATTGGATCATTGAAAGCTAATTATTTGTATGGCACTATATAAAAGTACATTTGTTCGCCTTATCTATGTGTTTAATGTGTATGTGATTTGATCAGAATATTATGGTCATTGATATTATGGTGCTTCATTCTCCAGTTTGTGACATTTTTGAGACTGTCAAGGTGTTGACTTACTTTTCAAGAATTGAACTAGGAATGCAATGATGCGTTCCGCTGTGTTACATAGCTGGTATAACCTTTAAAGGTAGAAAAGTAACAACACTTCATTTATTCAACTACGAGTGCTTTTACAGCAATACGCATACTTTATAGAACCGTTGGATATATAATGACAGAAGTAAGTCAGTTGAATAGAAAAGATGACTGAGTTATAAATTAACTAAGAACTAGGTGGGCGGGAGATGTTTTACATTAACTAGAGGTAGATATCAAGCATCATGTCATAATTCTATTCCTTGGATAAAGACAGGATGGAATAAATATCACAGTAACTGGCTAGACTACTGAGTAGCCCCAGTTTCAACGGAAGTTTAAAGGAACTATCTTTGATTAGACAGCTCATTATTCACTTACAGTATTTGGGATGTGCTTCTTTCATCATCTAGATGTACTGACATTCCAGTGCATGTTTCTTTCATTCCTCTCTTCAAAACTACCATAGTACTATCAACTTGGCTATTGGGTTATAGTAAACATCTTTCCTTCATCCAATAGAAGTTATTATTTAGTTTTGATACTTCTCATCTTTTATTTTCCACTTCGATTTACTTGATACTCTCTGGATGAGAAACAAAAGATAACACACTCATCAACTTTTTTACCACACCTATTGTATAAGAGTTACTGATAGTACGTAGCTGCTCAAACCTCGGGGCGGGGGGGGGAGCGGTGTTTAAATTCATCACTCAATATTTGTAAGCTAATTCCCTAAACTAGTGGTTCTCAGTCCCATTTGATATTCTTCAGTTTTTAGTGGTTTTAGAATTAAAATTTTTCATTTCAAAGACTATTTTTAAACCTTTGCACCAATTGTTAGATTCATTTTAATGTATGATTGTGAAGCCTATAGTCAATTGTTTAAACTACATATTTAAGCATGGAACATAATGAAGGTAAGCTTTTTTCAAGGTGAATAAATAGCTTGTTTTCTCAAAGTAACGAAATGAGTCATGATACGACATTTTATTTTACCGAAATACGCATATGCTTGTCACTGTTATAATGTTCTGGTTTTTCGTGCTGCCATAAGTTTATCAGTCAGTACAACCGCTGACACTGTAATTTGAACATTCTTCAGAGACCGATTCACTGAAACATTTTTTTTTACACAGTGCATATTTGAAGTCACTGTTGTTTTTTTTATGTCTACCACTTTACACTTGAAATAAAAATTTTTCCTTTACTTTCATTTTACAGAGTGGTACCAAATCACAGAAAAATGGTACTAAAAAAAGAAGTTTACTCAAAGACAAAGGCGTTAATATTCTCTCCCATTCAAAGAAGAAGCTTAATCCTGTTAGTGTTATGGATAAACCGAACACTAGTGAATCTATTTCTGTACATGAACGAATTGAAGCTGATCCTAACGGTTCATCAAATGTTAATGTGAAAAAAATTTCCAGTGACAAAACCAGTCGGAAATCTGTAATCAAACTAAAGGCAAAAAAACCATCAAACTCAACCAAGGAGAACCAATTGAATAAACTAACTGAATATAACCAATCAATACCATATTGTGAAGATATCTCTGATGTGAATTCTTCTTCTGATGAAGATGAACGTGAAATCGTAATCAAATCTTCACGTTCACGACTACGGCATTCAACTCGGAATTCAGCTAATTCCTCTACAAATTCATATAAAAAACGAAAAATATTCATAAGTCTCTCACTGTGACATCCAATATTAGTTCAAATAGTTCAGATACATATAGTGAACGAGAAGCTAATCATACTTCTGAAATCTCTCAAAATGAGAGTAGTGCCAGTGGTTCTGAAAGTGTTTACAATCCTAGTGATGCACTACCACGACTTACACGTAGTCAACATAAACAGTTGTTGGGTGATACACCTCCTGGTTCAGCTCTACAAACTGCAGCTCCTGCAATATCCAATCGTACTGTTTCAATATCTTTTCCTACTAAAATTGTTTCTAGCTCTAAACGATTACAAACAAAAGATATTAACAAATCAGTCCTACTTAAAGAGGAACAAGCAAACAAAATGGAGAACAATGAGATTTCTTCTTCTATAATCATTACAGGTAACCATTATTTCATCTATGGAGCGCTAGTTTCTTTTTCAATACAATTTCAGTTCACTAGTAAAATCTTACTACTGAGAAGCTGTGTAGTTGTTATGGCCACATTGAATTGCTAATCCGCGTTACAGGTTATTGAATAGATAATTTTTTTTTTCGAAATTATGCGTAAAGTCTAGGATACCATAGTTTTTATCCTTTATATAATGAGTTAAATTGTACTCCCAAAATTTTTTTAGGTGAATTAGCGTATTGCTTACTAACTAAGGAAATCTGTTCCTAAATTCCAATAACAGAAAAAAAATGTATTATGATTATTATTTGTCATTTTGGGTTGTTAGTGGAACATAGGGCTTCAGTAGCACGTCACCATTTCACTCTCTTTGCAATCTTTTGAACCTGGCTTCACGACTGCCCATAAGCTTTCATTTCTTCCTCATACAATCTCCTCCATGTCACTTGTTGTTTCCCATTTGGGTTCCACTCGATGACCTGGGCTGGCACATGATGTCTCCAAATGGGCTTCTCAGTGTGGGTCCAATCTAATCCATCTCCACTTTCTTCTGCATATTTGTGGAGTGATAGGTTGTTGGTTGGTTCGTTGCCAGCTAGAGTGAGTTCCTTGTTGCTTATTCTTATGATTCTGGCCATCTGATCTACAGTATCGAGTGCGTGTAGGGAGAAGCTGTTGATGGTGTATGTCTGCAGTTTGTATGCCATATCTTCTCATTTATTTTGCAATCTGGACAGTCTTGTCAGCTTCAAACATTGTGCGGACATTGCATGTCCATATGCTTACTTTTGCTTACATCGAGAAAAGAGGAGACACATCGGCCGACTGGCTTCTCGAGGGCTTTCACCAACCGGCATCATTCCGTCTTCCCAACTCCAGGGAGGAATAATTTTATTTTCGTTTTTTATATTTTATTTGTACTTTGAAATTTGTTTAGCGGTTGGATTTATTTTACGGGGTAGGGTTGCTAGCCCTATGTCCAACCTTCCCTCTTTATCTAGGTTTAGGACCTGCTTGTAAACTAGTCGAGGTTAACAGAAAAGAAATAGTATTAATAATTCACCCCGTATTCTCCTACTACTGCAGACGTTAAAGCACTACGTTCACTGGACGTCTGTAGACCTATGTGTTATCGATGCATGGTACTGAACAGACTAAGCAGAGACTGTTGTTAGTGTCCAAGTTGTTGACAGTTTGTGGATAGTGACACTGCATTAAGGTAAGTCAATAACAGAAGTGGTATCAATCTGTGAGCGTCATGTTAGAGACTAGCAAACTTCTGCTTCAAATCTATCTCATACGACCTTTGATACTTCAGATATACACACTCACCATATAGTTATCACTGATTAGTTTAAATTGTCGACTTTTCATAGAATTGATTTCTTACTCCATTCCAATAGCTTTATTATAATCATTTCAGTATTGTTTTTCACTTATCAAGCGTATCTCACAGTCTAGTAAATAGATCTGCTGCGTTAGCATTTTTTTTGTCTAAGATTGTCGTGTAAGATGACGATTTTATCTCATTATCGTTTTGTTAAGCCATCTTTTATATGCTTTGTTGTCGGATAATTTAAAAAGGTGGAGAGACGTCATCCTCATCATCTGAAACGGATCATTCACAGGTTAATATACCTAATACTGAAACAGTCAATCAAGTTAAGGAAGAAAACATTCAGAAGGTTGAAGATGATACCACATTTGGTAATGAAAATACTGAGAGCACTGAAGTCGATGGAATTGATGTGTGCGTGAAACAGGAAGTCATTGAAAGTGCTACAATTCAAAGTGTTCCAGACTTATCACCTGAGATCTACGATGATAAACAAGTTGACGATGTAATGATGAATGAATGCCTACTTGAAGACACAATTTCTCAACCCATAAACATTGGTGATAAACAAGAGGAGGTAGAGGAAGAAGATGGAAAGACAGTAGAGGATAATGATACTGAAGATGATCGATGTTCTGTCCAAACTATGAGCACAGATCCTATGGATGGATTGTTATATGATTTAACTATGTCTTCAGAAAAATCCCATATGCAGTTATCTAGTAAAGAAAATGATGATTTGGAAGAAATAGACAATCCTGTAAATCTATCTCCCCATCATACTGATATAACTGAAGAAGGTGGAGCTTTATCTAGTACTGAAGATCACCCAGTTAGTGAAATTTCAAACGAAAAAGAGGTGGATGAAACTACTGTTAATAAAACCTCTTTAGAGCCTATGATTGAGAAAAATGAAGAGGAAGATAAAATCTCTGAAGTAGAACAAGCAAATATATTGAAATCTCGTAAACGGGTTAGACGATCTAGCAACACCAGCAATTCAATTGATACTCCAAGTAAACGAGGAAATAAACGGACTTATTTAGCTCCCCATCGTAGTACCACGGTATGTCACTTCTTATACGCTATGGTTTCTCATATTTGATAATTATTTATCGAAAAGTTATTTTTGTTATCAGCTAGTTATATTTGATCTTGTGAACCTATCACTTAGAAGTCCTTAGTACGCAACTCATTTATTTTATTTATCAGTTCAACTCCTCTCAATTTTTATCATGCTCATCAACTTGGTAGCTAGCATCTTTATACTTTAGACAGTGTAAGAAAATGGCAAGGATGAAACGCGGAAGAATGTTTATTATGGCACTCTGTACATTACTGATGAAATATTGTAACCTCTCCATTGAAATATTCATTTGCACAATGTGTTTCTCTCCTTTCTCTTCTTCTATCTCGTTTTGTTCGTCATACACTCACGTTGTCTCTTGCATTTCTCTGGGCAGAATATTTACCCATCGCTCGTAATTGCCTATGACTTCTGCTGACCTCTCACCATATACTACTTATATCCATTCCTATCAGTAGTACCCACTACAATAGTAGTTTAGCTTAAGATGCAGGATTGTATATATATATACTGAATTACTATCTTTAAAACAACTGATTACATTTATATATTTCGACAAAAAAATAAGGAGATATCATTTGTGTCAATTCTGTAGTGTAATTCCATATTAAATCTGTTTATTCGATATATAGCGCTCAGTGATACAGTATCATTTACTTGATGACGTTTCAAGCATAAATTATTGCTCATAATCATATCACACTACCTTCGACATTTGATTTTTATAGTCACGTCACGTCACCTCATATGATTTGTTTTTATTGGTAATAAAATTTTCAATATCCTTGGCGTAGTAGTTGCGTCATTTCTATTACATGTGTTGGGTGTTGATTCGATGAACAAAGACTCAGTAATCAATCTCTCTCTCCACCTAATTATATTGGAATTAAGTACAGTGTCTTTATCCCACCCACTCTATTGTGTGGTTGTGTGTTAATGCATGCAATGCAATAGTCGAGTGTTTTTCTAGATTATTTATCTTATTCGGGTTTATCATTCTATACTAAGCTAAATTCCTATGTTCGGCTATTCTAACTGACCCCTACCGGTTAGTTTCATCTATGTACTTGACCTCACTCACAGTCATTATATGGAATGTGGTAGATTAGATTATTTTGCTTAATTGGTTCTGTCATATCTCTAAACCGACGAAGAGTATCTCTGAGTTTGTAGGTTTCACAATGCCACCCTAATACCAGCTTTGTTGAAGATCCTACGTAAAGTTTCTGATGTGCCTTCATTGTAAAGTAACACAATGGAGGTTGTGAACTCCTTTCTACATGTGTTGTCGTTATTATTTGTACTGGTGTTACTGTCATTATTTCGTTTCTTGTGTGTTCGTACGAATTTCTTGATAAACTGCAGAGGATAATTATTAACTATTAGTGCTTCTTTTTTGTATTTCAATTCCTTGTTTAAGTCTTTGCATTGACTAGTCAGTTTTCTAGGTTTATCACTTAGACATTTGACTAAGCCTGAGTTAACTGACACTGGATGGGATGATTTGAAGTCTAGATACCTGTTGGAATGTGTTGGTTTTCTGTAGACGGTAGTCTCTAAATCACCATCGTTTTATTCTGTTCATTTTCAACCTCATATGTCAAATGGATTGCTCCTATTACTGAGTGTATATATGTGAGGAAATTGTCAACATGTTCTCATTTGTGAACACAGTGAATGTGTCATCCACATATGAAAAGGCTGATTATTCATGAAATGCAAAATTTGGCTTTATTAATAGTATGAACAAATAAATATCTATGTTAATAGTAACTTAACTTACAGGAATTATTTATTACTGGTGAATGGTTGACTATTTTGGTATTGTTGAGGTATGTCAAAGCTCCTTCAGCACTTTCTAGTGTACGCTACATGTAGCACAGATGAAGATGTTAATATATAAGTGTAAAACTTGGGCAGTTTGGTAGAATTTAATTCCATACTAAATTTGTTTATTCGATATATAGTGCACAATGATACAGTATTATCTGCTTGATGTTGTATCGAGCATAAATTATCATTGCTCATAATCATATCAATGTGATCACACAACTTTCAACAACCGATCTTTATAGTTACATCATCTCATATGGTTTGTTTTTATTGGTAGTAAAATCTTCCATATCTCTGGTATAGTTGTTGCTTCAATTCTCTTACGTGTGTTGGGTATAGATTCGATGATTGATTTATGAAGCTTTTTTAAACACATGTAATAGGAATGATACAACAATCATTACTGGAGATATGGAAAACTTTACTACCAATAAAAACAAACCATATGGGGTAATATAACTATAAAAATGGGTTGTTGAAAGTTGTATGATTATGAGCAATAATTTGTGCTCGAAACCGTCATCAAATAAAAAAAATCTAATTATGGAATTATATTCTACCACAGTGCCCCAAGTTCTACACTTATATTAATCATGTTGTGCTTTTTGAGCATCACATTTCAAACAGTCTGCTTAAGTATATTTGGAAGATGATAGAAATTTTAGGGGTGAGAAAATGTGAATTAGTCATGAGAAGATTGTCACAGTTACTCAGATACATTGATAATTTTATCTCATAACTTGAAAACCCCGTTGTACAATAGCATGACAAATACTAGTTAGTATTCTTATACGAGACTATTATTTTAATAAATGACACCTGGATTATAGCTTCATTCTAACTGATAATCGTCATACCATACCATGTATGCTTAACATATCATAAATATTTTTTCTTATGATGTCGGAATAGTACTTTCTACCAAAGGTGCCCTTGTTATTACCCCTGTTGAAAAATGTTCTCAGTCTTCAAATATTAAGTTAGTTATTCTTTATCGAAGTTATACCGTAATGGTTTAACATCTTAACTATTTCTTGGTAGACTCGCTGTTTATTTGGATAGAAAACATGAGAAGGCTTCAGATGTTAGACTACCCCTACCTTCGTAGCATGGACTGTGTTTTGTGGTGTCACCACTTGAGTAACGTACAAATCAGGCGTAGAGTTTTAGGTAGGAGAGGTAAGTCAGTTAATACTGTTGCGAATCTTCATCAACTGACATGGCTGGGACATGTGTTACGTATGCGTAGCCACCGTCTACCTCGTAGCATAATATTGGCCGAAGTAGATTCAGACTGAATAAAGGCTAGAGGCGACCAGACTAAAACATGGTATCAATCCATGAAGTCCTTGACTGTTGGTTTAGTCATGTAGAGTGATGTAGATCAACCGGTTGGGGTCCACGGGACAAGATAAACTAGTGGTTGGAGACTCTAGGTAATATGGCTGAGAATCGATATAATAGGCGCAGATGCATACTCACATTATCCTCACAGTAACCGCTATACTTAATCTCATTATCTTCTTATTCAACCTCCTCTTTTTACTACTTTCTACTTCTACTTCCTTTAACCGATTTTTCTTTCCTTCTACATCTCCCATTTTATTACTTTTTTACTTGATGTGCTGATATAATATGTGGCAACTTGGAATGTTACGCAGTAATGCCTAGTCTTATGTTGGTCTTCATGATGCTGATGATGATGAATTTCTAAAGCGACGGATGTACTCAAGTCTACATTTAAAAAATGAATACAATGTTTTGTATAATCTTATTTATCACGCTATTAAATCAAATTTCATTTTCCCTGTAAATTGTTGAGTAGTGTATCCTATGAATTGTGCAAATGAATTATTCCATGTATTTCATGTGCATCATTGACTTTGAAACGTCAGTGTATGTCAAACTAAGATAAGTTCTTTCTGTATTTAGCCTTTAATTCCTCTCTAAATTATTGCAATCGATAAATAGAGGATGATGATTTGTGTTTATGGAAAATCTAAGTTAAAAGGATTTGAAATACTCTGTGTATGCCCTAAATATATTTGAAGTATTCGAAAGAGGAATTCTACGAGATGATATCATCTTACAGTTTCTCTGTACAATCGCATAACAACTGATATGATTTCCAAAAGAAATCGCATAGAAATAGGGAACAAATCATCAATCAGCCCGTATAATAGTGTAAATAACCTACGGTACACGAAAGGTCACATCCATTATCTTCTAATGATCTAAAATCTAAACACCAAACTATAGTATATCACAATGTTGCATCATAACTTAATGGTCACATTACAAACTTTATCCAATCAATAATACTATACCACTTTGTTCTATATCAATTGAAGAAATCCAATAGGCAATTACTTAATATACTTTACTGATCAGTATCTGGTGCATAGAACTTGACAGCTACATCGATTACCATCCGATGACCTATTCATGTGTCAAACAGCTTAACCTGTTTTCCACATGTTTTCACGCTACTCTCCTACTAGTGTCGTATTAGAATTATCTGATGCGAATGAAGTTCAAAACGGTTATGACAAGCAGATAGCCAAATCAGCATAGAACCTGGCACAGAAGTGCTTTAGTTCAAAATACTACACTTCACTATATAGTGCAAAGTGGAAGTGGATAGAAAAAGAGTATGAGGAAAGGGAAGATAAATAAATGAAGGTTAGAGGAAATATTCTAGACTTTTAAGATGATAAGTAAAAAGAACACAGTGTGCAAGATCAATCTATGGAAGATAAACCAATCGTAGAGGAAAAGGCAGTTAGGCAATTAGGATAGGAGAGGTAAATGAGTTGCTGCAAACATGAGTCATGCTTAACACTGGTACAAACAGTCAAAAGAATCAGATTCCTAGTGCTAATTTATTGAAGACTAGAAACTTTTCATACAGATATAACTGTAGATTTCAGCAAACAGTTTGAATTTTTATATGCTACCGAATGTGCTTACCACTATAAATTGGTTCTGTCACTCATGGTTCACCAATAGTCCTCTATAAGTTAGTGAATTATTTTGATTAGTACTCCAAATTGATTTTATACTAGACATTTAGAAAGGCTAATCTTTTATACTCCATAGAAGATCATAATATTTCACTTGTAATTTTAGGTATCTGAGAATTCACCAGTTCGCAGTTTCGATTCTCCTCACTATCCTCCTGTATCTCCACATTCAGTCCCGACAACAAGTGTATCATCGCCAATGCCTAATTGTTCTAAGTCGAATGATCGTTCAACATCCAGTAATAGGCGGTTTGGTGGACCATTTTTCCCAATCGCAGGGTTCGATGATCTCTCTTCTGATGCTAAATGCCAGGTAAGTTGCTTTTATACTAATTATTTTTCCTCAGTAATTTTCTTCACACATTCTTCATCTGTAATCATGATAATTTTTCACTTATTACTGAGAACAAAAGCTTTTTGTCTTGCCTTCTTTCAAGTTTTGATGTTACTGCTTTGGAATAGGACATAGGTTCTAATAATAAGCAAAATGAGATACTTGGACTAGATACGAATAATGTGACTTTTCTCTCCTGCACCTGATACTTTACTGAACCGCGAAAATCAGAAGGTAAAAAGACAGGCCTATGGCTGGCTTAAAGAAGACGACTTTATTTGACAAATAACATAGTATTTATATACAGCTGCTATTCAGAAAATGAAGTCACTAGATCACCAACCATACTGAAGGACAAAATTGTTCAATTTGATCATACATAGACGAAAATATTTCTACCTCAGCGGCAAATGACCTTGACGTCATCTAGGCCTAAAAGTTGTGTTTCAACTATATGTTGTTCGTATATGCGTGGATATTCATATCTGACAGATTTTAAGAAACCGAATTCTTTCTTTAGTCATTACAATGTAGTATATCCTTCCTTCTCATTTGCTTATTCCTTCAAAGAGAACGTTTTTCATAAATTTATTTTCACTGTTAAGAGCCAGTAAATCTTAATTTTTAAATCAGACTTACTCATAAAAATAGTTTCGTATCCGTTATCGGGTTTAAGCTGAACGTACAACTGTTTTAGTATGTTGAAACGTTGATGGGTTAAGTTACTTTTCTATCCTTATCCACAATAATCGAGTTATTGAGGAATATCCGCCTAGTGTAACTTTTACAGAATTGAAAATATTGGCACAAGTGAACGACTCTGGCTTCTCAGTTGTGCTAGAAAGATAAATGAGGACTGATAAAATTGTTTATTGGAAAATTACGCTTAGTCTTGGTAAAGTATGACGACCTTATACTGAATACATTTCATGGAAGTAACCTCTGTTCAATTTTATTATTATTATTATTAGTCCCTTGGGTTCCTAGTGGAACATAGGGCTTCAGTAGCACGTCTCCAGTGACCTCTGTTCTCTGAGATCTTTTGAACCTGGTTCCACGACGGCCCACAAGCTCACATTTCCTCCTCGCACGACCTCCTCCATGTCACCCTCGGACGTCCAACTCGTCGCTTCCCATGGGGATTCCACTCGAGTAACTGGCCTGACGCGTGATGTCCTGGGTCGGCCTTCTCAGTGCATGCCCAATCCATCTCCACTTCCTCCTGCATATTTGTTGCGTGATAGGTTCTTGGTTGGTTCGTTCCCAGAGCTCCTTGTTGCTTACTCTCATTATTCTGGCCATCTGATCTTCAGTAGCGAGCCAGGGTAAGCAGTTGTTGATGAATGTCTGTAGTTTGTTGGAAATCCCTTTCGTGACGCGCCAAGTCTCTGAGCCATACAGAAGCACTGACTTGACGTTGGTGTTGAAAATCCGGATCTTGTTCCACATGCTGAGTGCAGAAGATCTCCACACTGGTTTCAGGCTAATGAACGCCTGTCTTGCTTTTCCGATTCTGACTTTGACATCCTCGTCTGTGCCTGTGCCGCCTGTAGTTCAAACAGTGCTTCCTAGATAAGTGAAGGAGGTTACTTCCTTTAAGTTTCTCCCGTTGACGGTGATTGGAGTTTGTTGTTGGTGGTGGTGAGGTATCTTCACCTCTTTCTTCTCTATATTCACCTGAAGTCCCGTCTTAGCTGCCTCTTCTGTCAACTTGTTAGTTTTTGCCTGCAGATCTTCAAGTTTATGTGACATTAGGCATAAGTCATCACTGGCGAAATCCAAGTCTTCTAGGTTCTTTCCCGCAGTCCAGTGTATCCCCCTCTTCTCGCTGCCTACTGTTTGCTGCATGATCCAGTCCACCACAATCAGGAATATCATGGGGGATAGTAGGCAACCTTGTTTCACTCCTGTCTCCACTTCACTTCAAAATCATCACTGAGCTTCCCATTGTGGATTACTTGGCATGCGGCATCTTCATATAGTTGTTGAATGAGGCGGATAAAGGTTTATGGTATTCCGTAGTAATGAAGCAGTTTCCAAATTACTTCTCGGTCGATGCTGTCAAAGGCCTTCTCAAAGTCGATGAAGTTGAGGTAGAGAGCTGATTGCTATTTTATGCTCTGTCCTATGATGATGCGAAGCGTTGCAATTTGGTCTGCACATGATTTGTACTTCCTGAAGCCTGCCAGCCTGTTCCGGTTGTAGTTCTGAATCCACTGCATCCTTAAGCCTCTCCAGGATGATGCGGCTTAATATTTTACTTGGAGTGGACAGGAGAGTGATTCCTCGCCAGTTCTTGCAAACACTGAGGTCTCCATTCTTCGGCAGTTTGACAAGGTAACCCTTCTTCCAATCGTCAGGTACCTTCACTTCCTTCCACACCTTCTGCAATAGTGGTGTGGTGTGAGCATGTCCGCTGTTGTCTCTGCATCTGTTCTCAGTGCTTCTGGCGGTATTCCATCTGGTCCTACTACTTTCCCGCATTTCAGTAGCTTTATGGCGTTCAGGACTTCCATTTTCGTTGGGGGATTTATGTTCACTTGTAATTCAGCGGCTGCAGGTGGTATTTCTGGACGGAGTGCAGTTGGTGGTGGTGGTCGATTCAAGAGCTTTTTGAAGTGGTCGGCCCATCGTTTCCTCTGTTTCTCTTCTTTTGTAATTAAATTTCCTTCTTCATCTTTTATTGGTTTCATCTGTGTTGGTCTCTTCCCTGATAGCAACCTGGTTATTTGATACAATGTCGTCAGGTCTCTCTCACCAACCTGCAGCCTGTTCTACTTCACTTGCCAGTGTTTCGTAGAAGTGTCTTTTGTCTTTGCGTGCACTCTTCTTTACTTCTTTGTTCAGTGTTCTATACATTATGCTCAGTTCCTCTTGTCGTTGAGCATCCTTGCACTGGTTCATCTTCTGTTTCACCATCCTCCTCTCCTCTATCAGCTTCCATGTATCCGTCGAGATCCATTCCTTCCTTGTCTTCTTTCTTCTTCCTTCCTAATACTGTTGTGCAGGTTTCTTTCCCCATCTCTTTCAAAGACTTCCAGTGTTCTTCCACACAGGTTTCTTCAGGGATGTTCCTCGATATCTCCCATTTTGTCTTGATGGCTGCCGTGAAGATCTCCTTTGTAGTTTCATCCTTCAGTTTCCGAGTGTTGTACTTGAATTGAGGTCTATCACCAGCTTTCTTGAAGGCTTTCAACTTGATTTGGTCTTTGTTCAATATTCCAAATGAATTGGTCTTCAACTTCTGTTGGTTCTTAATTTGTGTTTTCCATTTCCTCCTTCAGAACCTCTACTAATTGGATAATAACTCTGCTTGCTTTTCTTAGGGATATTATACTATTTACTACTTAGGTTTGTCTGTATGAGTAGCAGACTCGTCAAAATTTGGTATAGCTTAATTTGATTTACATGTTATTTTATATACTCTTGTCTGAAGACTAAGTTCGGATACGAATTTTACTCAGTCGTCTTTGTTGTTTTGTTTGACATCTTGACTTGGTTGTTAGCTTTTGATCTCGATTGAGAAGTTTTGCTGGAAGGATAACTCGGTCATATTGGAGCCGTCAGTGGCTTTTTTTTAAATGTTGTATAGTGTCTCTTGAGGTTATCTAGTCTACTAAACACCTGGGGACGTCGTAGAAATTTCTGTATTGTTTGTTACCGAAATGCACATTGACGCTCTAAGATGGACTTGCGTTGATACCTCGTTTGACAGTGAACAATAATATTTATCTTATTATTGTTTGTCCCTTGGGTTCCTAGTGGAACATTGGGCTTCAGTAGCACGTCTTCAGTGAACGCTGTTCTCTGGAATCCTTTGAACTTAGCTCCACGACTGCCCAGAAGCTCTCATTTCCTCCTCGCACGATCTCCTCCATGTCACCCTCGTTCGGACGCCCAACTCGTCGCTTCCATGGGGGTTTCACTCGAGTGCCTGGCGCGTGATGTCCCCAGTCAGCATTCTCAATGTATGCCAAATTCATCTCCACTTCCTTCCACTGCATATTTGTTGAGTGATAGGTTGTTGGTTGGTTGGTTGCCAGCTAGAGTGAGTTCCTTGTTGATTATTCTTATTATTCTGGCCATCTGATCTTCAGTAACGAGCGTAGTCATCTATTGATGATGTATGTCTGTAGTTTGTTTGAAATCCTTTTCGTAACGCGCCAAGTTTCTGAACCATACAGGAGCACTGATTTGACGTTGGTGTTGAAAATCCGGATATTGTTCACGTTTTATGCTGAGTGGAGTGCAGTAGATCTCCACACTGGTTTCAGGTTAATGAACGCCTGTCGTGTTTTTCCAATCCTGGTTTTGACATCCTCGTCTGTGCCGCCAACTGTAGCTGAAATGATGCTGCCTAGATAGGTAAAAGAGGCTACTTCCTTTAAGTTTCTCTCGCTGATGGTGATTGGAGCTTGTTGTTGGTGGTGTTGGTTGGGTATCTTCATCACCTCTGTCTTCTCTACATTCACTTGAACTTCCATTTTCGCTGTCTCGTCTCTTCTGTCAACTTGTTAGTTTTCACCTGTAGATTTTCTAGTTTGTGTGACATTAGACACAAGTCATCGGCGAAATCTAAATCTTCTAGGATCTTTTCCCCAGTCCAGCGTATCCGAACAATGATATAGTTTATGGATATGGCCCACTTAATTTAATTGGGAGTTCAACACAGTCATAGTAGGTCAGGGCTGACGAGTCTTGGCACATCTATGAAGGCTTTTCTAGCCTTTACTAACTCTGACACCCATTGTTGTGTCGATGAAACATCCGACTGCCTACCTAGGATCGGATATACTGTGTGTGCAACAGTTCGCTGTGTTCTTCTTTATAACCGTGAGACAATCACCAAAGTTGTTGGATGATATAAGAAATCTTCGAGTATTTGACCACCATTAACTTATTGGCACTGGCTATGTGACTTATATAAAGTTTTAAGTACACAAGGTATGTCAACTGATTAGCTTGTAATCCTTAACTTTTTCACCTTCACCTTAATGTCTAGCAACTTGAATTGTTACACAGAAATGCCAAGTTTTACATTGATTTTATGTCTACTATTTGTCAGTGTTATAGTTCAAAAGTTTGATTCGTTTCTCTTTAAAATTGGGATTTTATAGTTATCTAACTGTATATATATAGAAGGGTTAATTTTGAAGAGAAATAAATCATGCATTTGTTTGCCTACTGAAACACTTTTGTGCACTTTGATCATAATTGATTATGGTTCGTCTGTTTAATGAAGAATTCTTATGACTCCTGTAAGTTATCTGTATCTCGAGGTGTATCCAATTGTGATATTTCGTTTCAGACAGAATGATAAACGCTTCACTTCCAAGTCTAAGTTATATTTTAATTCTAACTTGAACAATTTTAAAGATCAACCTAACAATCATTTAGCGTGTCTTAAATTTTACAAACAGAATATTATTTCTATTTATTGACATACTTGTTATTCTCCGTTGTTTTGTTGGATCGAATTGGCATATGGGCTCCTATGCGGATGCCTCGATATTGCCTGAATGTTAATTATGGTAATTTGGTTGGTTGTGGCTAGCAGAAGAATCCAGGACGCGCGTTTCGTCCTATCTGGGACTCGTCAGCTGGGTGTACCTGCACCCTAGTGATGTTGTTCCACCTGAGACTCGGAGCTTGTCGAGGTCGAACAATTCGATCCAACAAAACAACGGAGAGTAAGTAACAAGTATGTCAATAAATAGTAATAACTACTACCCGTTGTACATGAAGTGGCTATCGTTCCTACGTGACATAGTGGATAACGTCTTCGTGTTTGAAGCGATGAGTACGAGGTTCGAGTCCCAGTGGGAACAACATCACTGAGGTGCAGGTACACCCAGCTGACGAGTCCCAAATAGGACGGAACGCGCATCCTGGATTCTTCTGCTAGCCACAACCAACCAAATTAGAATATTATTTCAACAAAATTACAGGAAGCCAATCGGTTATTTAAGTAGGTTGGTCTTTTCAGTCACTTTTAATCCAGCTTTTAGTATAAAGTAGTCAGTAGATCGCAGTTGGACTCCCGTTTGAAATTCTCATATAGGCGGTTGTATGACTCAACAATAAGACTGACTAAATGTTACTTCTAAGGTCAATAAGGTATGTGTTTTTTTTAAAAAAAGCTTTCAAAGAATTTTCATTATGAGTATCATAGTAAAATAAATCCATGGGGACGATTTTTTCTCTCTCGATAATACCGTGTATTTTTCTAACGAATAACTTCTTTTCCAGGTTTTACAAGAACGTATGCATCGAATATTAGAAGCATGGCGTTTAGCTAAGCAGTACTTGAAAAATTTGGACCAACGTAATAATCGTACACGTCGGTTAAAAGGTCGACAAAACTTAGAGACTTCAACTTCTTTGGGTTCACAAGATAACCGACAACTTGTTGATGAAGCTCATACCAGTAACGATTTTCCCTGTACTTGAGATGGTTTATGTATAATATTTAAGAAGATTCTCTTCTTTACCTATAATTGTCTACATTATTATCATATAATTATAACTTTTTATTTACTATTGTTTAGTTAATTAGTTTATTTGTTTCATATATGTTTGTTAACACGCCTTCATTTGTCCATACCATACCATACCACCCCAGACCAAGATTTTTCTGTCTTTTTTTTGTACATAAAAGCATGTGATTAATATATCTTAAAAAGTTGATTATTGAATATATTTTTTAGTATCATTCTTCTTATACACAAATCAATCTTCGGCTTTCAGATTCTAGTTGCTTCACACTGATTGAAGTCGATTGATGAAGTTTAGACTGTGATTACCAAAATAAGCAATAGGACACTTCATGAAAGTGTATTTGATTTCAGGCTTAGAGGTCAGTTGATAACAAGTCCTAGACATAGGTTCTACACTCTTCTAGGCATATCTGCAACTTGATTTAGCTGACGTTCACTTGATGGTTTTGGTGTATGCATCATACATTTCCTGAACCACTAATCTATTTAAGATACCTGTCTGTAGAACTCGACAGATTTAGATGACGTGGTAATCTAGATAACTTTTAAGTCTTAAATACAAGGTTTACTTCTAACTAAGTCTTAACATATTTCTATTGATGGGTTCATACTTTACAAGTTGTTTGTTCAAAATTTCTAAGCTGTGGCTAACAGCTGAGTAGTTTTCCAACTGTAAGGTTACCAGGGCCTCTGTTGGAGACCACCCAGTCTAGATTACAAAGTGTGATCTCTCACATAAAAATGTCATGAACTAGCAAAAGATACTGCTACTGAACAACATGAATACTCAGAAGCCAATCAGGCTGATCTATAGATTTTCTCAGGTAGATTGGAGTGATCTAAACACCGTTTACAACTCAAATTCTATTGACACAACAATTGAAAAAACTACTCAGCTATGAGAAATGTCAATGTAAACCGTGCAATTTGTAAATCACTTGCAGTTTGATCATTTTATTGAAAGTCTATCTGAGTAAGATTTGGGTGATCTAAGCAATTTGCATTTGTGAGCTGAATTTCTTCAGATACACCGCTGATGAACTTGGTTTCAGACGAGCGAAACAGCCGTTCAGTGGTTAAATCATTTTGATCTAGTTGGGGAAATCTGCAGATCAGCCTGAATGGTTTACCACTGCTCAGTTTGTTCAGTATTGTGTTCCTACCTTAGTTTGACTTTGTTATTAACTGGAAGTAAAAGCAAGCAGGAAGTCTTTAATTTTCACTAGGTGTTTTGGTCACTTACCAATTTGTGGTGAAAACTGTCTGAAAATTAATTAATTCCTTAGAAACTGTATATCATACAGTCAGGATTCGCGGATAAGCGCACACAAAACATCATTTCTGGGCTGACAGATGATGAACTAATTTGAAGCACTCCACTGAGATCCTGTATGCAGGTCTCGGAGATGCAGCATAAATCAATAGCGGGGCTTTCCAGAGTCCTCGCCAAACCTACCTGTGTCCGATCTGCATCAAGGTGGCGAACTTAAATGGTATGCATGGCTTCAGAATAGCTGTGTCAGATGTCACACTGGAGGACAAGCTTCATGGAGGCAACTGTTTAGCGACTCGAAACGGTACAGACAGACCAAAAGAGAGAGCAGCTGAGTGAAGTGAAGTGAAGACAAGCGAAAATGGTAATAATGATAAACAAGTATAGTTTATATGTAAAAACAACAAAAGCAATATTATAGCAATAAATTGAGTGGTCGGCTAAAATATTCGTAGTGCGGAGAGCTTGAGTATTCGCATTGAATTTGCTTAGTAACGTCGAAATCTTTATTTTATATTGTAAATTCATATCTTGCGTGAGAGCTGGGATACTACTCAGGCGCTCAGACCGAAGCAGGTGGTTTTCTTAGGGGACCATTCCCCGAGCCTTTGACTTGTTTTATCCACAAGGCATTGGAGCAACATCAGGAGTTGCATTCCCATAGCTGCCGGTGACCAAAATAGGTTCCTATGTCATTCATTCCATCTGGAACCTGGAGTCCATGAGCACCATTGGTTTGGAATCAGGGTTTTCCAACTCCCTAGACCGACCCTCAGTATCCATCCATCCAGTGATAAGCCGCAGACATTCGCTGATGTCCTTTCACATTTGTGAAAATACCCCCGCCACGTGAAGGTAGTTAACAGGACTTCTCTGGCAGAGGCTGTGAACGCATACCAGGACATTTAGTGAAAGGTGAGAGGGTGAAAAGTTATTAATTACCAGGGTGATAATAAATTGGCAACTATCTCCTTCAGAACACACAGTTCCGGTTGAAATTGTTGGATATTGACGGCTTCGGCAATTCGAAGAAGGTGTGAGGTCTCCCGTCTGTTGACTACTATGAAGGATTCCATCACATCTACTTGGTATTTCGTATCACATAAGTGACGAGCTATTGGACTGTTGAACGAGGATGGACCTCTGAGACGTCAAATCTTTGGCCTGTGCTTTGCAATCCTGGTAAAAAGCACCTCTCTGCTCTTCCTACATACCTGCTACCACATGTACATCTAAACTGATAATTATAGTTGGAGTTAACAAGAGTGGGCAGTTTTCCTAATGTATATTGTGCGATTGCACGTGTTGTTTGGTTCACTGAGAGAGAAGTCTGGCAGCCGGATAGTTCCTGGACAGTGCACTTTTAATTCATCTGTTGATTCTTGTCGCAACATCATCTCCTTTGTAAGTCAAAGTAAGAAACACTAGTTTCTTTTCAACAATAATGCAGTCTGCTCTCTTCTGCTGACGTTTACAGTACTTCTGAACGAACTTCATTGGATAACCATTACTGTGTAACCATTGTTCAGTTAGTTGAGATTCTTCTTGCACTTTTTCTTAGGAATATAATCTGTCTGCCCTACGGTATGATATCCTCGCTAAACCTGTTGTAGCTGATCGAGCAGAATCTGTTAAAGTGTTAATGCTTGTATTTTACCGTCGTTTATTGGAACGAATTGATCGATCTGTATTAGCATATGGGCTCCGCGGATGCCTTGATATTGCCTGTGCTCCTGGATTCTGTTGCTAGTCACTATCCATCGTTACTGTAATCTTTTAAAGTTTAAATCCTGGCCACTCCATGGGGTTTTTCGATGAATGCTCGTCTTTGTTATCCCGTCTTCATTATACCTCAAACAATAGTCGAAAAAGTTTTCTTGCTGCTTCTCTTCACATTCCATCATAAACTTAATAATATGACGTGCATTGTTGAAATTTCGAATCATTCTCGCTGCCTGTTCAACGTCTTCATAGATGACAAATGTATCATCAGCATTTCTTAAAATAAAGCGTGGTTTTGTTGATTGCAAGTTTTAGGGTTGTGTTTTTTAAGTGTGACCTGAAGGTATCCGCCATTATTGGTCCTAGTAGACTTCCCATAGCCACCGTCAATTTGCTTGTATATGGTGCCGTTAAACTGGAGTTGAACATCTTTAGTGCACAAAAGCAAGAGACACTTCATTTCTGTTTTTGGCAATAGGTTATTTTTTGTGTATTTGCAAATCATCTCGAGGAGAGGTATACTCTAGAAAATCGAAGCTATCGTATGAAGCCATGAATTTGTTCGATAAACAGATGTTTTATTCATTTGGTGAAATCAAAAGAGTGCTTCAAAGTACATATTGACAAGTGCTGGTGATTCTTATCCAAATTCTTTGCTAACCAACAGGAAAGCTTTTGATATGGAGAGTTTATCAGACATAGAATAATTTTCAGCGTATGTCTGTCTTACTTATTTTTTGTTGTTCATACATGAATGGGATACTAAATTCTCTGGATCTGAGTTCATTGAGGTCTCATCATCAGTCAGTTTTCCCCTGTGTCGTTCTCTGGGTTCTTTGTTGATTCGCTTTCCGACCGTTTTTGTCATATCTTTATTGTGATCATTCATTGTGAATTGTGCAGAATCGATCACCTAGCGTTAATTTTATCTGATTGATATATCCTTCCTTACACAGTACAATCACACCAGAGCCCTTGTGAAGTTGAAGAATTACGATCAATTTGTTGTTTATCAATTCCTTAAAAGCCGAACGATGTCCTTCAATGAAGAGTTTGGATTAGAGTAATGAAGACGTTTGGTACTGATTTGAAATATCGAAAAGTTTGGATTTCAACCACCGCTTGATATCTTCGTCAGCAGGCTGTAGATCGATCAGATGATTGAAGGAATTCTCAAAATAAATTTTAGTATCCGTTATTGTGAAGAGCTTCATTTTGGAGCTTGTTTTAGTTGACATTTTACAAGTTATCCTCATACTTCTCGAGGTTTTGTGGAAATTCCCCATTGGGTCGGTCTTTGACTTAAGATTCTGACAGTCTTTCACTAGTAATGATGGATAGTAACTAGCAGTGGAATCCAGGATGCGCATTTCGGCCTGTTTGGGACTCGTCACCTGAATGTATCTGCCTCCCAGTGAGTGGTGTTGTTCTCACGGGGATTCGAACTTGGGAACAATCTGTTGAAACGCCAGAGCTTTATTCACTACACCACCGAGCCACAATATCCACTTCTTGTGCAACGGGTATAGTTTTGGTATAATTGCTTGTATTATACTGTAGTTGATTGGGCCGAATTGATCGATGTCTATTGGCATATAAGTTCCTGTGCGGATGCCTGGATATTACCTGTGTTTTAATTATGGTAATGATGGATGGTGGCTAGCAGTGGGATCCAGGATGCACATTTCGTCCTATTTGGGACTCGTCAGCTGGATGTACAAGCAATTATACTGAATCCTTTACTTGTTTTTTTTTAATTGGACATTTTCAATAAAATTAATGAATTTCACTCAACAAACAATGCTTAATTCAGTTACATATTTGTCAAAGTGATTCACTTTTGATCATGAATTGGTTATCACAGTCTTAGCTGAGTCAATATGAGATTTGATTGCAAGTCGAAGATTTTATGTGACGGTGGTTATATACAGCTGGAAAAAATTCTATGAAGTAAATAA